AGGTGCCTCTCTTCCCTTGCCACCACCAGAACCACCAGGCTAGGACCCTGAGGACTGGGAGGTGAGTCTGGCGTCCCCCCCACCCCCAGCCCTCATTCTCTCTCTGTCCTCCTCCCAGCAGGAGCTGCCCCATCACATTGGCCCTCAGCCAATTGAGTGTGAGTACTTCCCCCCTGCTGTGGAATTCAGAGACTTCTACCTGCTGTGTAATGCAGTGTCTGCCTCCTTCCACCACCTCACCAGTGCTAATGCCTCTTCCCCTCGGCCTCCCCACCCTGTTCCTTCTGACTCCTGAATTAGCCTGACTTAGTTGCATCCATCTAGAGCTCTAACTTTTATCGTCCTGCTGTAATCTCAGAGAGGTGGAACAGAACACGATGGCTGAACTGCAGCCCTACCCCGCCCCTGCCCCAGCATTGATCTCCTAATTGCTTCCCTTTTCCTCACAGTTATATTTTTCTCCATTCCAATGTGTCTCCCTACAACTCAGGTATCTTCTCCTCTGACCTTTTCAGCCTCTTGTTCACATGACACAAGATAAGGGGGTTTATTTGCTCATTTCACACCCAGGGGAGAGAGCCCAAGAGGTGAGTCAGAGTTAGAGACAGGATCAGAGCTGAAACCCAGAGAGAGAAATGACTGAGCTGAAAGAGATGAGGGGAGATGGTAATTGAAAGCCAGCTTGATCCGTCATCCCCAACGTTTGTAACAAGTGCAGGGTTTGAACGTTTGTAAAGTGTTTCAGCATGGAGCAATCCATTTGATTTTCATCACCACCACCATGTAAGTAGGAAATATTCCTACTTTTCAGATGAAACTGAGGTCCAGAAGGTTTAGTCACTTGCTCGGGGACATCCAGCTACTAATCAGTGGAGAACAACCACAAATTCAGGATTTTTTTCACTCCAAGTCTCAATTTTCACTCCATTCTTTTTACTGCACTGGCATGGATTTTCAACTGCAAAAGAATAGTTAACTCTCCCAAAGGGAGGGGGTTGTCCACCTCTCTAGAGACTTGGAGATTTGGGACCTTCTCGTCTACATTTTGGGATTGGGGAAAAACCATATCTCTATCTCACATCTTCTCTAGACTCCTGCTTAACGAGGCCTTCCCTAATCACGCTACTTGAAATTACTACACCCCAATACTCCATATATGCCCCTCCTGTTTTTTTCCTCCGTACACTTATATCCAGCATGCTAAGTATTTTCCTTATTGTCTCTCTACCACACACCTCCCACTAGAATGTAGGTGTCACAAGGGCAAGAATTTTTGTCTGTTTTGTTTGCTATTGTATCCCTCACCCTCTAGTGTTTGGCAAATAATAGATGCTCAATAAAAATTTATTTATAAAATGAAAAAGGAAGCCAGAGCCAAGCTTCTTGTATCTCAGCCTGTAGGGAAAATGCAGGAAAATGATCAGATGTTCAGAATCTTGCCAAGCATTTGACATAAATATGCACGTGTACCCAGGTATTCCTTGGTATTGTCTAATGTAATTGCGCGTGTGCACCCAGGTGTCCTGGGTTATGGACTTAAGTATAAAGGACAAGCGGCTCTGATCCACGGTGCCCTCTGCCCCCGGGGAGCCACTGGGGGGCGCTACTGCTACTGGAGGCTGTTGCCGCAAGCTATTGCTGCCGGTGCCCCCAGGACCCTCCAAGAGGCCACTGACGCGCTGCCACTGCTGCTGCTGGATCTGCTGTAAGCTTCTGCTGCTGCTGTTGAGGACTGAGCTCATGTCATCTGCCAATGGCCGCTGGAATCTTTCCCAATTACCTAGCGTGGACCCGAGTGTAAGGGGTCTGGTGACCCAGTCTATACAATGGGTTTGAAGGGTCTGAGCCCTAGCCCTGACAATACAAATNAGACCCGAGTGTAAGGGGTCTGGTGACCCAGTCTATACAATGGGTTTGAAGGGTCTGAGCCCTAGCTCTGACAATACAAATCGAAACTTAGTATAACTAAAATAATGAAACATTTTGGCTTTAGTTATGAATTGCTTTAAAAGTACAATTGGCTACAGTGGCTACAATGGCAGGAGTCTGACAAAACATGAATCCTCCATGGAGCCTCTCAAGTGCTGCTGCAGTCCTGAAATGTTTGTTGCCCACGCTGGCACGTGGGCCATACTGAGAGAAGTCATCCTGGCTATACAGGGCCCTGTGTTCACCCAGAGTGAGGGCAGCAGCTGGGTCTCAGGCCTCTTTATTATGTGAGAGGCTAATGGGGCCTCATTAAAAGTTTCTCATTACCCAGCTAATTACAGGGCTGAGTGGGCAAAGAACATGGGCCAGGACCCAGGGTTGGGAGTACTGGTGGGATGAGAAATAGAAGTGGGAGGCTGTTTACACACAAATGGCGTGACTGGTTCATTCCTTTGAGAAGCTCAGGTACTGTTCCTAATTGGACCTAGCCATCTCCCTCCTCCTCTCCTACCCCCACCAATTTGAAGATGGAAACTCAAGCTAGGCAGGGTGGGGGGAGTTGGGTATGCAGGAAGAAGAGGTATTATACTGAGAGCCTCCTGGTGGCTAGCCTGTTAGCTCACTTGGGAGAAAGTGGTGCTGATAACACCAAGGTCAAGGGTTCAGATCCCCATTCTGGCCAGCTGGCAAAATAAATACATAAATAAAAGCCACCTGGGTCCCATCTCTGCATCAATCCCCTCCCCCACCAACCCATCCATCTCTGCCCCAAGCCCTGGCACCAGGGAAGCAGGGCTTCAGCAAAGGTCCACCATGAATAATGTCCTTTGATGATGTGGCATCTCACAGAGGATGGCAGGAGCCAAGGATGGGGGGAGCAAGGGGATGTCAGGGAGAACTGATCACTCCTTGATCTCTGGGACTAGCAAAGACTTGAAAGAGCTGATGCTAAGCTAAGTTAGAGAGGTGATGAAGGAGGGAGACATTGGAGGGCTGGAACAGGCAGGCCGTCCTTCATTTTGTCTGCAAATCATATGCAAATGACATGTAAAGTGGGCGTTGTGGCTATAGAGCACCTACTCTTTATTTAAGCCACATCTCAGACATTGTCACTGACTTTGAGGAGCAGGATACTTGGAGTCCAGGGTTCCTAGCAGTTCCTGCCCCTGCAGCTCCCCGTCTCACACACATGCTTATGCACATGGGATGACTTGGACATGTCCACCACATGCACAGCTTGTGGACTCCATCAACAACCTGTAGGGGGGCTGGGGTGTGGAGAGGCCAGGCTGGAGCCATACATGACACAGGGTGGAGATACCAGTAAAGAATGGGAGGATGGCAGCATCTGCATCCTTCCATGTCCTGCCATGTNTTGAGGACTGAGCTCATGTCATCTGCCAATGGCCGCTGGAATCTTTCCCAATTACCTAGCGTAGACCCGAGTGTAAGGGGTCTGGTGACCCAGTCTATACAATGGGTTTGAAGGGTCTGAGCCCTAGCTCTGACAATACAAATCGAAACTTAGTATAACTAAAATAATGAAACATTTTGGCTTTAGTTATGAATTGCTTTAAAAGTACAATTGGCTACAGTGGCTACAATGGCAGGAGTCTGACAAAACATGAATCCTCCATGGAGCCTCTCAAGTGCTGCTGCAGTCCTGAAATGTTTGTTGCCCACGCTGGCACGTGGGCCATACTGAGAGAAGTCATCCTGGCTGTACAGGGCCCTGTGTTCACCCAGAGTGAGGGCAGCAGCTGGGTCTCAGGCCTCTTTATTATGTGAGAGGCTAATGGGGCCTCATTAAAAGTTTCTCATTACCCAGCTAATTACAGGGCTGAGTGGGCAAAGAACATGGGCCAGGACCCAGGGTTGGGAGTACTGGTGGGATGAGAAATAGAAGTGGGAGGCTGTTTACACACAAATGGCGTGACTGGTTCATTCCTTTGAGAAGCTCAGGTACTGTTCCTAATTGGACCTAGCCATCTCCCTCCTCCTCTCCTACCCCCACCAATTTGAAGATGGAAACTCAAGCTAGGCAGGGTGGGGGGAGTTGGGTATGCAGGAAGAAGAGGTATTATACTGAGAGCCTCCTGGTGGCTAGCCTGTTAGCTCACTTGGGAGAAAGTGGTGCTGATAACACCAAGGTCAAGGGTTCAGATCCCCATTCTGGCCAGCTGGCAAAATAAATACATAAATAAAAGCCACCTGGGTCCCATCTCTGCATCAATCCCCTCCCCCACCAACCCATCCATCTCTGCCCCAAGCCCTGGCACCAGGGAAGCAGGGCTTCAGCAAAGGTCCACCATGAATAATGTCCTTTGATGATGTGGCATCTCACAGAGGATGGCAGGAGCCAAGGATGGGGGGAGCAAGGGGATGTCAGGGAGAACTGATCACTCCTTGATCTCTGGGACTAGCAAAGACTTGAAAGAGCTGATGCTAAGCTAAGTTAGAGAGGTGATGAAGGAGGGAGACATTGGAGGGCTGGAACAGGCAGGCCGTCCTTCATTTTGTCTGCAAATCATATGCAAATGACATGTAAAGTGGGCGTTGTGGCTATAGAGCACCTACTCTTTATTTAAGCCACATCTCAGACATTGTCACTGACTTTGAGGAGCAGGATACTTGGAGTCCAGGGTTCCTAGCAGTTCCTGCCCCTGCAGCTCCCCGTCTCACACACATGCTTATGCACATGGGATGACTTGGACATGTCCACCACATGCACAGCTTGTGGACTCCATCAACAACCTGTAGGGGGGCTGGGGTGTGGAGAGGCCAGGCTGGAGCCATACATGACACAGGGTGGAGATACCAGTAAAGAATGGGAGGATGGCAGCATCTGCATCCTTCCATGTCCTGCCATGTTCTGCAGCCAGGAGACAGCTGGAGACAACCCACAGAGCAAGGAAGAAAAGAGCCCCTCAGAGCCTGGAGAGGAAATAGACTGAGCTGGAGCTGGCTTAACCTGTGAGATGCTAGAATGGCTCCTCATGGGGATTAGGGGAATCCAGGATGGCTCGTGCCCCTCAGAGACTGACACAACCTAGACTTGAGAGTGCTGGACTAGCCAAGAAGGGAGAGGGCTGGGAGAGGAGGGGCAGGGTGGGGAGGAGAGCATTGGCAGCAGAACTCCAGCTTCTCTCACGGTGATGGAGCCAATTCAAGCCCTGTATCACAGGTGAGGAAATAGAGCCCCTATAGGCTTCTGGGAATGAAGACACATTCCTGGGATGCAGAAGAGAAGAGAGGCAGAGACAGGAAAGAAAAGAAGGAAGAGAGAGAGATGGCAGAATAAAGGATAAGGAGAAGAGCTCCCACCCTTCCCTGAGCTAGCATTTATCCACATGACTGTTGCAGAGAGGACAGGAGGGAGGCTGGGAAACTTAGCCCTTCCCCCTCTCACCATCCCCAGCCCAGGGAGCTGACAGTCCCCTCAGCCCTGGGAAAGGGAAAGCAGGGTAGGGAGCAGCAGCTGTATATTCTCCTGAAATTGCTTCTGAGAATGACCAGACACTTCACTAGGAAAGTGACGACAATTTGGGCCCTGGAGAGCAGGAGATGAGACAGAGATCAGGGGCAATCAGGCTCTGGTCACCACCCCCCTCTCGGCCAGACAGGATCTGCTTGGCCTGACTGGAAGAAGTCAAGGATGGGGGAAGGAGCAGTGGGGGGTGGAGGAAGGCTGGTCAGAGCCTGAGCTACTCCAACTCTGGACACAGCCCCCCACAAGACAGGCTCTAGCCCCTCACCCGCATGAGAAGAGTGGCCTATTTCAGCTCAGAGCAGGGTGTGCCAGAAGCATGGGATGTATGCTCAGAGAGCAAGATTAATCTGCAGGCAGGAAAAGAAGTTAATCAGGTCTCTCCACCAGCATGATTACCTGGGGCCGTGAGCTGCCTGCCAATGGAAACTGAGGTGGAAGCAGACCACAGCCTCAAGGCACAGTGAGTTCAGTGGAGGAGACAAGGAAGAGGCAGGGAAGGCAGAGATCATGAAAGGAGGAAGAAACATCCAGAGACAGAAAAAAAGGCAGCTCTTGGTAAGCTCTCACAGAGCACAGATCTAAATTTTACTGTGAATATATGAGCAGCTTGTTCCCCAAAGGTAGAGACTGCAATGTTGAGAAGCTGAGACAAGGNGGCTGGTCAGAGCCTGAGCTACTCCAACTCTGGACACAGCCCCCCACAAGACAGGCTCTAGTCCCTCACCCGCATGAGAAGAGTGGCCTATTTCAGCTCAGAGCAGGGTGTGCCAGAAGCATGGGATGTGTGCTCAGAGAGCAAGATTAATCTGCAGGCAGGAAAAGAAGTTAATCAGGTCTCTCCACCAGCATGATTACCTGGGGCCGTGAGCTGCCTGCCAATGGAAACTGAGGTGGAAGCAGACCACAGCCTCAAGGCACAGTGAGTTCAGTGGAGGAGACAGGGAAGAGGCAGGGAAGACAGAGATCATGAAAGGAGGAAGAAACATCCAGAGACAGAAAAAAAGGCAGCTCTTGGTAAGCTCTCACAGAGCACAGATCTAAATTTTACTGTAAATATATGAGCAGCTTGTTCCCCAAAGGTAGAGACTGCAATGTTGAGAAGCTGAGACAAGGTAGTCTGAGGAAATAGACATGAAGGGGAGTAGAAAAATATTTACAGCATTATACAAAATATTACGTATTAGTATTAGTCAGAGCCCACAGAATCGGGGACAATGAGATGGTGTGAGACAGTTATTGAGAAGCTGAGACAAGGTAGTCTGAGGAAATAGACATGAAGGGGAGTAGAAAAATATTTAAAGCATTATACAAAATATTACGTATTAGTATTAGTCAGAGCCCACAGAATCGGGGACAATAAGATGGTGTGAGACAGTTGGAGACTGAGTAAAAGATAATGATGATGACACAGGGAAAATAAATGAAGAGAAAGGGGCCTAGTCACAAGGATGGAAGAATCTGGGTTGGGGAGCTTCCCCCTTGTCAAGTACCACCAGCTGCAGGCCCCAGCTGTGGCACAGTGATTCGCAAGATAACTGTTGGGAACAGCCTGGCATCTCGGGTGTATGGAAAGGATGGGGGTGCCAGGGAGGCAGGTGTGATGCAGCCCCGTGCTGAGACAGGGGTGGGGGGACAGTGGAGCTCCTGGGTGGAGGGCACCCAGCATTCCCTGGCTCACCTCAGCTTGCATGAACCCTCCAAACTTGGGCCTCTTTTCAGGCTTAATCTCCAAAGAATCCCAGTTTCTGCCCATACACGGATCCGTACTTCTTCCCTCCAGGGACACACTTAATGAATCAGCCCATTGGCCACCTGCGACCTGAGCATCATCCCTGACTCCCCCGCCCCACCCCAGTCTCTCCGCACCCCGGCAGAGCTCAGCCGGTCAAGGAGCCCAGAGAAAATTTCCCTTCCTTTCCATTTTTATTATTTGTACTAGCTAGCTCCAAGGAGCCTGGGGAGGGGAAAGGATTGGGGGGGCAGGGGGTGTAAGTACAACTGGGTGAGAAGATGGGGGGAACAGGGACCCACACACACTGACCAAATCTTTGGAAGTCACATGTTTTATTAGTGGGCCAAGAGACTAAAGGTGGAAGGAAGCTACATTTAGAGGACAGGACTGGAAGGGTTTGGGAGAAGAAAGGTCCTCTTCAAGGGTTCTCCAATCTCCAATCCCCACCCTATGATCAGAGGGGTGAGACATGAGATTCTCCCGCAAAGGCAGGCGGAGGGGCATTAGTGCTGGTCCAGGAGGAAGAAGCTGCCTCCCTGTGTTAGGCTCCCACCTCCTCACTGCACGGTCACCTCCAGATGACTCCCCTTCTTCTTGCAGCTTAGCTTGCTGTTCCCACCACCTCCAGGGGCCTGGATGACCTTAACGGCCACACTGCTCTCCTTGAACCTCACTGAGAACCTGGAGGGGAACAGACAGAAAAAGCATAGCTAGTGCCCCCAACCCCTCACCCCCACTCTGCATTTCCATGATGGGCCCCCTCCTTTCCCTGAAGCAAGTACACTGTACGTCCTTCCCACCCCTTGTCAGATGACTTGAGGCCCCAGAGAACTTGGTTGGGGGGACTAAGAAACACCTCCAAGCCCTGCCCTGACATAGCATGCTTCACTTTTCTGATTGTATGAATTTCCTCGGTCACAGTGACCATCACCTTGGTCATCTGCCCCAAGCCATCCCTCACGCCCAGCTCACGGCCTTACTTCTCAGTCACAGTGACTGGAAGCTGCCTCTGGGTGGCATCCAGCACAGCCCGGTACATTCTGGTCAGCAGTTCAACCACATGTTCACTGACCAGCAGGAAGTCCCCCTTGGAGCCCAGTGATGACATCTTAGGAAGAGGGAGAAATAACAGGGAAGGAATTCGTTTTTGTTTTTTTTTTCCTCCTCAGGAGCCTGAGGGACATCAAAGGCCCAGAGTGAGAGGTAAGTCCCCATTACCACCTTCTCCAGTTTGAGGCCCTACCCCCACCCAGTTCTGATACCTCACTCAGATGCAAGCTAAAGAGCCCATCCTCGAGGCTGGTGACTGACACCCCAGCCAAACTGTCCAGCCCAATAACAGTTTTGTCCTGGGACTTCTTGATGTCTGTGAGAATCACATGCCCCTTGGTCAGGAGGAGAATCCGAGGAGAACTCTAGGAAAGGAACAGGAAAGGGTGAGGAAAAGCAGGATTACCCCCCACCCACTCCACTCAGCAGAGCACACGCTGCTTATGGGCTTTCCAGCTGCCAGCCCCACAGCTCCGGAGCAGGCTGTAGGGAGTTTAGAGCATAGGCCTTTACCTTGCCGTTGCCACGATTGATCTTCTTCACAGTCTCTGCCACCAGAACAGGCCCTTCCTCCCCACCCTTCAGCTTCTGCAGCTTGGGGTTCCCTTGCAGCCCAATGTAGTCACCGTGGAATGGAATAGGGACACTGAGGACACAGGGGAGGCATGCAGTGGAGAAAAGACCCTGAGCCTCCTCACACCCCCGCAGTTTTCATCTTAATCTTCCCATTCCCTTCTCCCACCCTCCTTGGTATCCTCTGTCTTGGTGGTTCACAGAGCGTGGTCCAGGACCAACATCAGCACCACCAGGACTTGTTTGAAAGGCACATTTTAGGGCGCCCCTCTCAAGACCTGCTGAAACAGAGACTCTGAGGACGGACATGGCATATGGATGTTAACAGTCCTTCCAGGTGATTCTGAGGCAGGCTCAAGTCTGAGAACAACTGCTTGATGGAACTGGCTGTATAGAGTCTGGGAGGCCCTCACCTCTGGGGATATGAAGCCTTCTTGCCCTTGAACAGTTCACTGGCACAGAGCTTTTCCCTCAGTATCTCTACCTGCTTTGGAGACAGCTGATCCCGGAACTTCTTGCACTGTGAGGACAGACAGACAAGAGCTGAGATCACAGAGGCAGAGAGCAGTGCTGGGGATGTACTAGGGGAGAAGAGAGACACAGGGGGAAAGGACAGGCACTAGACACTCCAGGGAGAGGCAGGGGCTGGAGGACCTTTGAGGAGGAGGAAGGGAACTGAGGGATGCTGGAGGAAGGGAATGGAAGCACTCAAATACAAACACCATGAGGGCTGTATGCCTAGCACAGAGGGCAAGCCTTAGTCCCAGACATGTGCTTAATAAGTATTTCCCGAATAAAAGAACAAATGATGTTATGCTAAGTGAAATAAGCTGGATACAAAAGGACAAGTATTGTATGATTCTCACTTACATGAGGTACCTACAGTAGTCAAATTCATAGAAATAGAAAGTAGATTATAGGTTATCAGGGGCTGGGGAAATGGGGAGTTATTGCTTAATGGGTAGAGAGTTTCAGATGGGGGTGATGAAAAAAAGTATGGAGATGGATGGTGGTGATAATCGAACAGCAATGTGAATGTACTTAATGCCACTGAACTGTACACTTAAAAATGGTTAAAATTGTAAATTTTATATTATGTGTAACTTACCACAATAAAAAAAAAATAGGAAAAAGTAGAAGAAAGAAGCAGAAGAGGAAAATCAGAAGGAGGGAAAAAAAAGAACAAATGAGAGGAGAGGAGCCTGGGCCCCACTCACCTTCCATTGGTAGAAGAGCTTCTGCAGCTCCCGGTTAGCTGTGCTGAAGCACTTGTAAGGGGCAACAGGCCACTGGTCGTCCAAGACATTGGTGGATGGCAAATTGTTCTTCAGCCCCAGGAGGAATTTCTGTGCCTGGATTGGGAGCAGGGGGGTTGAGAGTGGAATGATGTGGAGAAACACTTCCTGACAGGCAAATTTGCACAGAGATCCTGCCACTTAAAAGGAGGAAGACCAGACATAATGAGAAGCAACAAGCAGAACTGAAAGATAGAAGGGAGTCACCTTCTGGATCTCTTTCAGTGTGAAGTGTAGGCTTGAGGCCGGGAGATAAGAGCATGAATGGGAGATTGGAGAAGGATTAGTTCCAACCAGAGACCTGCTACTCAGGGCAGTGAGGTGGGAGAAACCAATATGAAAGCTGGTCTCAATATTTTGCTCCTGTAGCTTCCTATTCTCTCAGCTCACAATTGCCTACAGTTGGATGCCACTTGGCTATTGTGTAGATACCAAATCTCTCCTCCTGTCTGATTGGTCAAGTCCAAATACCTCTGCTTGCCATTCAAAGTCCTCCACTTAGAGCCCCATCTCATATCGTGCATGCAGATGCCCTGCACACCAACAAGATGGGACTCCTTGTCATGCCCTCCTCCTAGCTCATGCAGTATCACTCTGTGCTTCAGCTTATGCTGCTCTCTTAGCTCCACTCTGCCAACCTAGCTTCAACCCACCCTTTGAGATTTGGCTCAAAACCCTCCTTAATTCCACAGGCCATGGATTGCCTCTCCTTTCTTTGAAGCTCCATAGCATTTTGTCTATACCTCTGTCTTAGGGTATAATCGCCTTCCTCTTCTAAACAGTGAGTCCTTAGGAGTCAGCATCCCAGATCTTGAATTTTTTTCATCATTCACATTTATTGTCTACTCTGTGCCTGGCACTGTTCTAGGTAGGGGGACACAGCAGTGAACAGAACAAAGTCTTGATTCTCATTGAGCTTACATTCTACTGGGGGTTGGGGAAGGGACAGGCCACAAGCAAATAAATATATAATGTAATGTCAGATAATGATACCTGCTGTGATGCAAAGAAGCAGGCTCTGAGGCAGGAATAAGTGGTAGCACATTCCAGAAATATTTAGAAAGCCAGCATGGCTGGAGTAAATTGAGCAAGAGGAGAGAAGATCAGAGAGTTGGTCAGGGGCAGATCACAAAGGGCCTTGCAGGCTATGGTGAAGATGTAGGCTTTTACTCTGAGTGAAATGGAATACCGTTAGAGGGTTTTAAGCAGAAGAGTTACATAATCTGACTTACGCTGGTTTTTAAAAAATTTAATATAGCTTATTTTTTATTTGGAAAGTTTTCAAATTTGCGGGAAAGTTGAGAAAACAGTACAATGAACATCTGTATACTGTATACCCCTCACCTAAATTCACCAACTGATGTTAACATCAGATAGGTCAGCAGATAGGTCTGTGTGTTCTCTCATATGTGCTCTAACACACACATACACACATATATGTATGCATATAAATACATACATACACATATATACATAAATCCTTGCTATCATACCATCCTAAAGTAGGTTATAGATATCATGACATTTTCCCCTAACACTTCAGCATACATCTTCCAAGAACTGAGACATTCTCTTACATTATCATAACTCCATCACCATATCTAAGTAAATCAACATTAATTAGATACACTCATCCAACAGTGATCCATACTAAAATTTCTCTACACATCCTTTATAAACTTCTAAACATGTCCTTTTTAGCTTCATTTTTATTTTCCCTGTTCTGGGACCCAATCAACTTTTATCCATGGCATGTGACTGTTCAGTCGCCCCGTTTTTTCCCAGGGAGCACCTACATCTAGCACCCTGTTTGTTTATGGTATAGAATTATTGAAGATATAGAAAATGACTTGATATTGGGCATTTCCAAATGTTTGGAATTTTTATGGAAACATTTTACCAAGACATTAGGTTAAAAAACACAAAAGGTAGAGCACAGAGTATATTGCTGTAATTCTGCAGAACTACCCAAGCTCTTTGTAGCTTCCACTATGGGTCTAGAGGGCTTTGTCCGCAGGATCTGGGCCCGGGGAGGCCTCCAATCACCTTGGAGGCCCTAGTCCTTGGTCTGGTTTGATTTAGTTCAACAAACATTCCTAAGCGTCTCCCATAATCCCCTTTGTTCCAATCAGCGTGGAGCCTCTGAGGGTTTTCTTCTTGTTACTGTTTGTTTTTTCCAGATCTGGAAAGTTCTGCCCTTCCATATGAAGTCCTCCTATCCCCAGGTCTGCCCAGGCCTGTGGGTTGCCCAGGCCCCTATTAGAGGGGTGCAGTCTCAGGCCGTGGTTAAAAGCTCTGGAGTCAAATAGTTTGTATCCTAGCTCTACCATTTACCTTCTGTGGCACTCCACAGTTTTCTACTTATAAAGCGGGAGGAAGAAAAGGGACTACCTCACAGGGTTGTTGAAAACATTAGAGTTAATGCATGTAAAGAACTAAGCACATACTTAGGTATTCAAAAGATAATGGAGACTGGCATTGGCAAACTATGGAAAACAGTCAGAAACCCTGGGGGAATCAATGCCCAGTAGCCCCTGCATGCTTCTGTAGGGGGTGTGGTCTATTGAAATATTGGTCTAAACCCAGCAACTCCTGGGTTGACATTCAGCAGCACCTGATAATATACAGGTGGAAGAAGGGCCAGTCAGGAGATAAGAGCGAAATGACACTACAGGTCTTAGGTATGTAGCAAGAGAGCACGTACTCTGGGAAGAAAGGCAGACACAATGGAGCCAGCATGAGAGAAGACAAGGCAGAAAGAGGCCTGGGAAGATGGAACTTCCCTGGGAAGGGAGGAGGAAATGAGGGCTCAGGGAGGCAATGAAGAGGCCCAGAGCTCCAGAACTCCCAATCCTCTATTTAGCTGAGAGATCCAGCCTCTTGGACAACAAAGAGGAGCTTCAAATGAATGTGTGTCATGTCTGAATGAGCCAACTTAGTAACGGTCCTAGTGACTGTCAAAAATCAAATCAGCGAAGGCCAGTTTTAATTTACTCCAGTTCTCTGTCCAAGATCCCTCCTCTTCCTCCTTCTCTCTGGCCTTTCTCAGGGTTTCTTTGGAAGTGCTGCTCTCTCCCTTGTTTCCCTCCAACACCTCTCAGAGGCATCATTGCTATCTGACAGACATCTCCAGAAATGACTCTTCTCGGTCTGTTCTTCTCCCACTGGAAACTGCCCATAATTTGAATGTGCAAACCTGGTTCTGGCTTCTTCCTGCCCATCCTAACCCAAGTCCTCCAGAATTAAGATAGGTCCTTCCTGAGATTTACTTTGTGACTTGCCTGCTATTGTTTCAGAATAGATAGGAGAAAGAAATGATTCTCAACCCTCAAGGGATCCCAACCCTAAAAGGGATCTTGAAGGTTGGCTTTTGTCTTTTTTTTTCCGTGTCCGGCAACGGATCGCAACCCTCAGTGTTGCCCCCGTACCGGACCGGGAAGGTTGGGCTAGTTAACCCTATGTGTGTCTTCACTCTGTTCTTCAATGAAGCTTGGACTCTTCAACTGTTGTTAAACATCCAGCCCCAGTCTCTTCTCAAGCCTATTCACCTGTGGACCAGATGGTGGGTGTGCTGGGACCCCTTCCTGCCACAAGGTTGCCTGCACTGTCCGATTCTGCTCCTGAGCCGAGGCGTGCAGGCCTGCTCCCTGCAGGGTGCTGCTCATCCCCTCTAAGACTTCAGTACACACAGACTGAGGGAGCTTTTGGGGGAAAGCTTACAGTTGCCTTCTCTCAACCCCACATCTTCAGCTTTTCCAAACCTGCTTCTCCCTCATCCACCTCCACCCCCACCCACACTCCCACCCTAGCCTCAAGCCCCACCCTAGCCCCTACCACTTACAATGCTCTTGTAGATGAAATTTGCCAAGATGAGGGCAGCCCCTGACCGGAAATATTTTCGATAATTCTTGCGGGCCTGGCAGGGACATACAAGAAAGGAGCCAAAGTGAAGATTGACTCTAGAAGAGGATATACTATTTTTTCAACCACACAAAGAACAGAGTAAGACAAAGAGCATTATTAGTTGAAGGGAGGGAGTAAAGTCAGACAAGTTAACAGTGAGGAGGACCCTAAAAGCAGAAGGCAGAGCTCTGCTGCCAAGTCAGAGACACACCCAGACATATATACAGATCTCCCCAACAGGCATCCATATTCCCAGACATACGCCCACACACGGATGGGCCATCACACAGAGGTCTGGCCTGCGTGCAGGCAGGACTGCAATTCCTCCTAAATTGTGCCAGCTGCTGGGGAGAAAGAGCAGCAGAAAGCCAGTGTGGGGAGGAAACCCCTCTCCCATTCCCCATTACCTTCCATCCTCTCACAAAAGCCTGGATCAACAGTGCTGATGCCTTCATCTTCCCATAGCATTTCTTTTGCTGCAGAAAACATTGGAGCTATTAGAAAAACACTGCCTTCTGAACCACCTCTCACCCTACCTATTAGAGTGAAGGGGATGGGACTTTGGGGGTGACTGTACCATGTTGCCCCGAAACCAAGAGGAAATGAGGATCTGGCTCTTTCGCATCTGCTGGTAGTGGGTGCGACAGCGCCAGCCTCGGTAACTCTTCTGTATGAGTGTGGCCAGCTGTTGGAGTCTAAGGCGCCTCTGCTCTTCTAGGCAGAAAAGCTGTGAAGAGGTCAAAGGGTGGGACAGAAAGGCTGGCCTAGGGGAACAGTGTCTCTTTTCCTGCATCCCACAGTATTGAAGGCTTCCCAGTCAGCATCTTATTTGATCATCCCTTTGTCTTCTTAGTTTATTCATTTATTCATTCATTTAACAAGCATTTACTGCACTCTAACTCTGTAGCAGGCATTGTGCTAGGTATTGGGAAGTCATACATAAACTACACATCACCCCAACCATCAAGGAGTTCTGCTTTAGGTGGAGGCACTCGGAGAGGGCCATGTAGCACACCTAGCTCCCAAGGCTCAGGGCAGGGTGGGAACCTGAGGATTCAGTTCCCAGGAATAACATCCCTGCAGGTAGGAGACTTCCTCATCCACTATCCATTCCAGGTTATAAATGCTCCCCTGCCCCCCAGCCTCCTGCTCAGGCGAGCTCTCAACTCTTCTGCCCTCCATCTCCGCAAAATGCAAGTACACACTCTAACTCACAGTCTTGGGGTTTCTAATGAAGATCTTTGTCTTCCCAAAGGCCAGTTCCTCTGAGGACACACTCAATTCCTCCAGGACCTTCTCGATCCCCTCCCTACAGGAGCAGATGGGAGAAAGCTGCAGAGGGGCATCTCAGGAGAGGTTCCTCTTCCACCTTTCCCCGAGCCCCGTTCAGACTCTGAGAAGTGATAATTCATTTCCCCAAGTATCCATTTACCACGCTTCAGCAGATGTGCATGGCATCTCCAGTCTCTTCCCCCAGAGATGTTCTCTACAATGCCCTTCCCTGCTCCCCAGTCTCCCCACTGAGTCTTACCGGTCTCCCCCATTCCAGTGAGGCCAAGTGCTTCGGCTCAGCAGTCGGTACCTTTCCAGGAAGGGCCCATACCCCTGGCGATAGGCATAGCCTGCCCGTCGCACCCGCACGTTCTCCAGCAGCCCCAGGTACCGAGCCTGGATTGCCACCAACTCTGAGGAGAAATGACCTCGCTGCTGATGCTCATTGGGCTTTATGCACCTGGGTGGGAAGTGGAGCAAGGCACAGGCTGCAGGAGCTGACACAATTGCCAGTGTCACCCACCCTCGTTTCTACACCCCTATTCTGCATGCATTCCCCTAAGTTGAAAAATTTCAGAGGAAGTAGACACACTGGCCTTCCCAGTTTTACTCATGACTGTATGGCCCCTACCAAATCTGATGCTCTTCCCCCTACAGGACTCTCAGCTCTTCATCTGGCTCTGTTTTCCATGAGGAAAGGGCCTCACTCTTATTCCTGAGATGCCCCTCCCCCGCACATGAACATGTTGGAAGGCGTGTGAATTCTGCACATGCCAGGTAGCATGTTCCCCTGTGTGCCAGCATGTCACCTGATATAGTTGGGGTTCTTGGAATACAGGTTCTTCATGAGTATGGCCACAGAACTCTTGAACTGGGCCCCAGCAGTTGGGGGGCGTTTGAGAGATGCCTGCTTGGGATTGCCCTCAGGGAACAAGGACCGAAGGAGGGGGTGCTGAGCCTTCCACATGGCCTGGGACAGGTCTCGGAAGAGTAGGTCATTATTCTTGTCAATAAAGCTGGTCACGTTGTATGTCACCTGTAGAGGTGCAGCTACAGGTTTGGAGGCCCCACAACCTTGTCCCAGCCCTTGGCCCTCCCAGGCTCAAGGTGAAGTATTCCTGGCTCTCACCTCCCCTCAGTTCCTCCCCCACTGCCTTCATCCTGTGCCCAGGCCCTACTCTTTACTCTCTGGCCCCACCATATTACCTTGCCTGCATAGTGGCAGATGCGGAAGCAGCTGAGGCCCATGGTGTGGTCATACTGGTGCTGGGCATTCTGTGTGACTTTGCTCTCATAGTGACCATGCTTGGAGAAGAGCTGGTTTAGCTTTGCTAGGAAGGTGGAGTCACTGACCACACCAGGCCGCAGGCACTCCTCATCAAGCATGGCCAGGATACCTTGCTGATTCTGGATCAAGAGAATGAGATCAGCTCAACCTAGGCCTGGTCCTCCACAATGTCTGCATTCTCACTGCTGTCCCCTTGGCCCCCTCTCATCCTTTGCCCTCTTTACCATCTTTACCAAGTGGGGTAACGGGGAGAGAAACAGGGGAAGGATGTTCAGGTAGTCTGGTAGGGGAGATCCCAGAGATAAGAAAAAGATAACTCACATGCTCAATGAGGTTACAGATGATACTGTTATCAAAGTAGTCCACCTTTGTCCATGGTATACCCTGGCAAGGGGAGACATAATAAATTACAGGGAGCGGGTCCAAGATAAGTCTCCAAAGACCTCACCAGACCCAGACTTCCTTTCGCCCACGCCACAAAGGACCATCAGAAAGCCCCATGGTTCATTTCACCGAGATGCTTTAAAGCATTATTAAAAATGTTTGGATCCTCATGAAGCCTTACTATACACAAGTTTACCAGGAAATTTGGGTAGGAATGGGGTTGATGAGCTTCATCGTTTATAAAATTAGGAGTGTTAATAAAAGAAGTAAAGCTTTGAAAGGTTCAAGTGCTGCACCTACTCATGGTCATCATTAACCAGCTTTACTTGGAATGCACATGAGATGAAACATCAGTCTGCCTGTAAATTTAAGCAAGCTGTGTTGGACGGGAACATGGAACATCACTGTATACTTGTATAAGTACTGTGGACTTCTTGGCATGCATAAATGTGTGCGTGAGATAAAAAAAAAAAAAAAAAAAAAGCCCCATAGTTCAGAGGGTCCTTGGTATGGTTCCCATTTATGTCCCCATCCCTCCAAGGGAAGGTGGAGAATTTGTGAGGTGGGTGGACAGACACATAGGAGGAACCAGAGCATCTGTGAGAAAGAGAAAGACAACACAAAGAGCCCCATGGGTGGTGTAGGGTGGAGAAAGAAGTGTAATATGTTGGGTGGAGATTGGGATAGAGATTACCCAAGTGTGGGAGTGGGAAAGGATCCATGTGTATGTGGAAAAGCAAATAGCCACACTACTCTGGCAATAAACTATAAAACCAGAGCACATGAGTGAGAATTTGTAATCAAATGACAAAGCTAATTTTATGCATCTCCGAAGATCTACATCAGTGATTCTCCAACTTGAGTGTACATCACAATCACCTAGAGGGCTTGTTAAAACATAGATTGCTGGGCCCCACCCCCCAAGTTTCTGAGTCAACGGGTCTGGGAAATTTGCATTTCCAACACATTCCAGGTGATACCGCTGCTACTGGTCCAGGACTGCACTTCAAGAACCATTGATCTACATGACACTTTGGGACTGTATAATTTTTTAAAAAGCAAGAATGGTACAGAAGCAGAAGATCCAAAGATGGTTATTCTCTACTATGGGAACTTGCTGGGCATCATGTCTACAGGCAGGATAGCTCCTGATCCCACCCAAGGGCCAGGTGTCCCAGGCTGAGGTCATTCCCAGGTGTGGCTGGGGAGCATAAGCCTTTCTTTCCCTCCTCCCTCACAGGTCTTTAGAGAAAGCAGAGTGAAATTAAGTAAAGTTTCCCTCCCATTTCCCAATCAGTTAAATGAATCATGATATTCTTCCCCAATCAGTTAAATGAATCATGATATTCTTACAATACTATGGATTTGAAAAAAGAATATATATATACTGACATAGAAATACCTCTTGGTTAGTGATGAAAACAAGGTGCAGAACAGAGTGTATTTACTGCAATTTGTATAAATTTTGTGGAAAAATATATTTACAGATTTGCTTGTATACATGTAAGAGACCTCTGGAAGGAGGTACATATTGATTGCCTCTGCATGGGGAGGGGAAGTAACAGGTTGGGGGGCAGGGGTGNTTTGTCTTCCCAAAGGCCAGTTCCTCTGAGGACACACTCAATTCCTCCAGGACCTTCTCGATCCCCTCCCTACAGGAGCAGATGGGAGAAAGCTGCAGAGGGGCATCTCAGGAGAGGTTCCTCTTCCACCTTTCCCCGAGCCCCGTTCAGACTCTGAGAAGTGATAATTCATTTCCCCAAGTATCCATTTACCACGCTTCAGCAGATGTGCATGGCATCTCCAGTCTCTTCCCCCAGAGATGTTCTCTACAATGCCCTTCCCTGCTCCCCAGTCTCCCCACTGAGTCTTACCGGTCTCCCCCATTCCAGTGAGGCCAAGTGTTTCGGCTCAGCAGTCGGTACCTTTCCAGGAAGGGCCCATACCCCTGGCGATAGGCATAACCTGCCCGTCGCACCCGCACGTTCTCCAGCAGCCCCAGGTACCGAGCCTGGATTGCCACCAACTCTGAGGAGAAATGACCTCGCTGCTGATGCTCATTGGGCTTTATGCACCTGGGTGGGAAGTGGAGCAAGGCACAGGCTGCAGGAGCTGACACAATTGCCAGTGTCACCCACCCTCGTTTCTACACCCCTATTCTGCATGCATTCCCCTAAGTTGAAAAATTTCAGAGGAAGTAGACACACTGGCCTTCCCAGTTTTACTCATGACTGTATGGCCCCTACCAAATCTGATGCTCTTCCCCCTACAGGACTCTCAGCTCTTCATCTGGCTCTGTTTTCCATGAGGAAAGGGCCTCACTCTTATTCCTGAGATGCCCCTCCCCCGCACATGAACATGTTGGAAGGCGTGTGAATTCTGCACATGCCAGGTAGCATGTTCCCCTGTGTGCCAGCATGTCACCTGATATAGTTGGGGTTCTTGGAATACAGGTTCTTCATGAGTATGGCCACAGAACTCTTGAACTGGGCCCCAGCAGTTGGGGGGCGTTTGAGAGATGCCTGCTTGGGATTGCCCTCAGGGAACAAGGACCGAAGGAGGGGGTGCTGAGCCTTCCACATGGCCTGGGACAGGTCTCGGAAGAGTAGGTCATTATTCTTGTCAATAAAGCTGGTCACGTTGTATGTCACCTGTAGAGGTGCAGCTACAGGTTTGGAGGCCCCACAACCTTGTCCCAGCCCTTGGCCCTCCCAGGCTCAAGGTGAAGTATTCCTGGCTCTCACCTCCCCTCAGTTCCTCCCCCACTGCCTTCATCCTGTGCCCAGGCCCTACTCTTTACTCTCTGGCCCCACCATATTACCTTGCCTGCATAGTGGCAGATGCGGAAGCAGCTGAGGCCCATGGTGTGGTCATACTGGTGCTGGGCATTCTGTGTGACTTTGCTCTCATAGTGACCATGCTTGGAGAAGAGCTGGTTTAGCTTTGCTAGGAAGGTGGAGTCACTGACCACACCAGGCCGCAGGCACTCCTCATCAAGCATGGCCAGGATACCTTGCTGATTCTGGATCAAGAGAATGAGATCAGCTCAACCTAGGCCTGGTCCTCCACAATGTCTGCATTCTCACTGCTGTCCCCTTGGCCCCCTCTCATCCTTTGCCCTCTTTACCATCTTTACCAAGTGGGGTAACGGGGAGAGAAACAGGGGAAGGATGTTCAGGTAGTCTGGTAGGGGAGATCCCAGAGATAAGAAAAAGATAACTCACATGCTCAATGAGGTTACAGATGATACTGTTATCAAAGTAGTCCACCTTTGTCCATGGTATACCCTGGCAAGGGGAGACATAATAAATTACAGGGAGCGGGTCCAAGATAAGTCTCCAAAGACCTCACCAGACCCAGACTTCCTTTCGCCCACGCCACAAAGGACCATCAGAAAGCCCCATGGTTCATTTCACCGAGATGCTTCAAAGCATTATTAAAAATGTTTGGATCCTCATGAAGCCTTACTATACCCCTTTCGCCCACGCCACAAAGGACCATCAGAAAGCCCCATGGTTCATTTCACCGAGATGCTTTAAAGCATTATTAAAAATGTTTGGATCCTCATGAAGCCTTACTATACCCAAGTTTACCAGGAAATTTGGGTAGGAATGGGGTTGATGAGCTTCATCGTTTATAAAATTAGGAGTGTTAATAAAAGAAGTAAAGCTTTGAAAGGTTCAAGTGCTGCACCTACTCATGGTCATCATTAACCAGCTTTACTTGGAATGCACATGAGATGAAACATCAGTCTGCCTGTAAATTTAAGCAAGCTGTGTTGGACGGGAACATGGAACATCACTGTATACTTGTATAAGTACTGTGGACTTCTTGGCATGCATAAATGTGTGCGTGAGATAAAAAAAAAAAAAAAAAAAAAAGCCCCATAGTTCAGAGGGTCCTTGGTATGGTTCCCATTTATGTCCCCATCCCTCCAAGGGAAGGTGGAGAATTTGTGAGGTGGGTGGACAGACACATAGGAGGAACCAGAGCATCTGTGAGAAAGAGAAAGACAACACAAAGAGCCCCATGGGTGGTGTAGGGTGGAGAAAGAAGTGTAATATGTTGGGTGGAGATTGGGATAGAGATTACCCAAGTGTGGGAGTGGGAAAGGATCCATGTGTATGTGGAAAAGCAAATAGCCACACTACTCTGGCAATAAACTATAAAACCAGAGCACATGAGTGAGAATTTGTAATCAAATGACAAAGCTAATTTTATGCATCTCCGAAGATCTACATCAGTGATTCTCCAACTTGAGTGTACATCACAATCACCTAGAGGGCTTGTTAAAACATAGATTGCTGGGCCCCACCCCCCAAGTTTCTGAGTCAACGGGTCTGGGAAATTTGCATTTCCAACACATTCCAGGTGATACCGCTGCTACTGGTCCAGGACTGCACTTCAAGAACCATTGATCTACATGACACTTTGGGACTGTATAATTTTTTAAAAAGCAAGAATGGTACAGAAGCAGAAGATCCAAAGATGGTTATTCTCTACTATGGGAACTTGCTGGGCATCATGTCTACAGGCAGGATAGCTCCTGATCCCACCCAAGGGCCAGGTGTCCCAGGCTGAGGTCATTCCCAGGTGTGGCTGGGGAGCATAAGCCTTTCTTTCCCTCCTCCCTCACAGGTCTTTAGAGAAAGCAGAGTGAAATTAAGTAAAGTTTCCCTCCCATTTCATCCCCCAAATACTCCTCCCTCACAGGTCTTTAGAGAAAGCAGAGTGAAATTAAGTAAAGTTTCCCTCCCATTTCCCAATCAGTTAAATGAATCATGATATTCTTCCCCAATCAGTTAAATGAATCATGATATTCTTACAATACTATGGATTTGAAAAAAGAATATATATATACTGACATAGAAATACCTCTTGGTTAGTGATGAAAACAAGGTGCAGAACAGAGTGTATTTACTGCAATTTGTATAAATTTTGTGGAAAAATATATTTACAGATTTGCTTGTATACATGTAAGAGACCTCTGGAAGGAGGTACATATTGATTGCCTCTGCATGGGGAGGGGAAGTAACAGGTTGGGGGGCAGGGGTGGAGGGAGACCTTTCTTTATACACCCTCTTAAGCTTTTTGAATTTTGAAGCATGGAAATGTATTATCTATTTGATAATGTAAATTACTAACATCAAAACATGCAAAACGACTAAAAAATCTTTTCCACATATTGTGACCACATTGCCTGAAATTCTGCCATAACAGATTCTTGAGAGCTCACAAGGGAACATCCCTGGGAGGGTTTTGATGAGTGAGACTCAGCCATTTACACTTTGGGGTGGATTAGCTCAATCGGGGAGGTTTTCTAACACCTAGCCATTGAAAACAGAGGTTTGCACTGAATCAGGGAAGGAGTGTGGCAAATTGGAACCATGGGGCACTCCTGGTGAGGAAGTCTGGGATCCGGGTGCTACAAGAGTGGACAGTAACATCAGCCAGGGCCCAGAGGGGACAACGGATTCTGAGATGTTAAAGAAGGACATAGAAAGGGATGGGGTAGGGTGTCAAGCCCAGGAGAAATGTCCCTTCTAAATTTGGCTCACGGTCTGTCATAGGACAAGCACAGCTGTCACTTCACTCTTGTCAAGACTCTCCACACTTACACCCTTCCATCAACTTGCCCCCTGCCTTGCCTGGCCTGGAGTGGGAAGCTGGAGAAAAGGAGGATAGAGGGCAGAGAATTAGGGGTACTTGGTAATGCTGGAATGTTTAGCTGCTCAAAGGAAGCTTTTTGTCATTTGTGGGGATAATTTAGAGAAAATTGTGATCAAGGAGAAAGGAAGATCTGGCATATGCCTAGAAGTCATTTAAGAGAAGGGAAGTAAGGGGAAGACTTAACTTACCTCTCTCTTATATTCCTCTTGCTCCTCTTTTAGGGTCATTTCGATGAACACCTGCTGCAGCTTCTCATTGCAGTAGTTGATCACAAATTGCTCAAAGCTATTGTCCTAAGGGAGGGTACACAGGCTAAAGAGAGAGACCAGCTCACCCTAAGACCCTTTCTCCCTCTCAGCCCTGCCTCTCTCACATCCCCCCTGTGAGCCTGCCCACCTCCAACCCTAGAAGCAGAGTGCTGAGGTTGGCCGAGGCTCTCTCACCTCTAATATCTCAAAGCCGTAGATATCCAGGACTCCCATTACCTTCGTCTTCTCCCCAGTGCCCACCTGAAGGGAAAGATAAATCTGAGGACAGGGTCCCTCTGAGCACCAGGCCAGGCCCTTCTGGAGCAGATGAGGATAGAGTAGGGGGCAAACAGAACTCGGGTGAGCTTGACCAAGATGGAAAGAAACTTGTGATTTTATTCTCCTTCCTTCTCCACATGCTAGTGGATATGAAGGAAGGAAGGAAGGGAGGGAGGGAGGAGGAAAAGGAAGATGCAAGTACATTCTAGGATGGTGCTCCCGTGGTATAAGGTAGAAAGACATTAAAATCCTCTCAGGATAATATATCTGTAGAGTATTTTACAAAAATTTCCATGTCCTTATTTAAAATTAAGCCTTATCATAGCCTTAAAAGGTATGATTATTCCCATTTTACAGATGAAAAAATCAAATTTCAAAAGGGCTAAACATTTACTCAAGCCTAGATTCAGATCCCAACTTACCCTGCTGCCTTTCAGTAATAGCTTCTACGTGAATGGCATTTTCATACAGATAATTTGTAATAACAGCTTTATTGAATATAATTCACATACCATGTGCAATTCAGTGGTTTTTCTAGTATATTCCAAAGGTTGTACAACCATCACCACTACCTAATTCCAGAACGTTTTCGTCACCCCCTCAAAAAAATCCTGCATCCATTAACAGTGTCTCTCCATTTCCCGCCCCTCCAGCCCCTGGCAATCACTGCTCTACTTTCCATATTTATGGATTTGCCTATTCTGGACATTTCATATAAATGGAATCATACAAAATGTGGTCTTTTGTGTCTGGCTTCTTTCACTCAGTATAATGTTTTTGAGGTTCATCAATGTATGTATCACGTATCAGTACTTCATTTCTTTTTACATTTATGGATTTGCCTATTCTGGACATTTCATATAAATGGAATCATACAAAATGTGGTCTTTCGTGTCTGGCTTCTTTCACTCAGTATAATGTTTTTGAGGTTCATCAATGTATGTATCACGTATCAGTACTTCATTTCTTTTTACGGCCAAATACCATTCTGTCGTACGGATATACCACATTTTGTTTATCCATTCATCAGTTGATGGACATTTGTGTTCTTTCTACTTTTTGGCTATTATGAATAATGCCTCTATGAACATTTGTACAGGTGTTTGCGAGGACATCTGTTTTCAGTTTTCTTGGATATATACCGAGGAATGAATGGAATTGCTGGATCATATTGTAACAATGTACCTAATTTTATCTGATCCTCACTAAACCCTGTGAAGCAGGTGGGCATTAGTTTTTTAGTGGGCATTTTCAGATCGGGAAAGTAAGGCTCACAATCTTTGAGAAACTGAAAGGCCACATGGCTGGTAAGTAGAGGATCCAGATTGTCTAACTAAAAATCCAGTGACATTTCCACAATAATGCACTATTGGAAGGAACCATACCCTCCCCTCATCCTCACTCAGTTCATCTCAGAAACCAACCTGTGGAGCTGGTGACCAGGGCAAAAAAGGTGAGGCAGGCAGGGGAGTGTGGAGGAAGGAGGGCAATCGCTCACCTTGATGCTCTCATTGATTCGATTCACTATCCAGGTGAAGAGGCGGCCGTAGATATTCTTAGCCAGAGCATCCCGAGCATACTGAGCCTGTAGGATGGGGCCAAGACAGTTAGTGTGGCAGCCACAAAACAGACTCAAAATCAGCTTCCTCCAGTAGATTTTCTTACCTGGATAACATTCAGTGCTGTGACCACCTTTTCTTTAGCCGTTTCCATGGTCCTCGAGCACAAAGCTCTCTCTAGATCCTTTGAATTCAAACCCACCATCTCCCCTATCTCCCGAACACCTGGAGTGATGAGGAAATACAACAGGGCCTGAGAGAGGGCTGTCTCATGGGAAGGGAGGGAGAGTTGATAAGTGAAACTGACTGGGAGACAGGTGTCCCTGGGTCTCACAGAGGAATTCATTGCAGCCACCCCAGAACATGGCCCTGGAGGAATCTCAGGTGGGGAGGGGGATGGCCAAGGCGGATGGCCAGGAGAAGGGATCTGGGCACTTCATGTCTCTTATCCACTTTCATATGAGAATCTCTTGAAATAGGTGTAATTATCCCCATTTTGCAGAAGAATCAAATAAGACTTAGAGAAGTCCTAGACCTAGGTCTATCAAATTTCAAAACCTCATTCCAATACACTTCATTGGGAGCTCTCAGTGAGTCTGTTTGAGGGAGAACTCAGGAGTGGGGTGAGTAGGACTGCACCAGGGTGAGGTGGGTTATGCTGGAGATGGTGGAAGAATATGAGTTACAATGGGAGATTCAGGAGGTTGGGTAGGGGCTTCAGCAGGGTGGTTCAGACCTCTCCCATCACGGATGCCACTTGCTGGTATCCCATTGGCCTGGAACTCATCCACCAGCTCCACATTTCCCAACTTCAGCACCAGGGCCGTCACCTCTAGCACTTGTCGAATCTCCTCCTCCGAAAATCCAATTACTGTCATTGCACTCTTAAGGAGAAAGCAGAAATCAGAAGCTGGATTGATGGTACCAGTCCAATGCCTCTCTTCTCAAAGCTAGAGCATGAGCTCAGGGAACAGAAGGGCCCAAGCCTATTCCGCCCTGGGCATCTACCTGTACAGCCCTGAAGTTGGAGGCATCGTCCACTCCATCCACTCTGGACACGTCCCAGTTCAGATAGGCATAGCCACTTGTATCCTGCTCGAGCTTGAGGGCCTCTGCGAGGGCCAGTGTGGGGAAGAGGATTAGTTCCCAGGCTGTTTGGGAGTTCATACTTGTTGGGTTCCCCTTTCCCCCAACTTTTATGGAAGAAAAGCCTTATTTACTCTTTACCCCACCTTCAGAGTTCTAAACAGTAAAAACAAACAAGCAAACCCTCCATCCTCTCAGTGCCTCTGAGAGGATGAAGGTGAGGGGAAAAGGGTAAGCACGTATCTCCCACCCACCCCACCCACCCCAGCCTCAACACCTCACCCTTGGCTCATCTGTTATTTGTTCACCAAGCACTGACAAAGGGACAGGTAGTGTGGTTCCCTGACCTTGACCCCTCTTCTAGAAGGTTTTCCTTTATGCTGGGAGGCTGAGCCAAATGGCTCTCTTGTATTTCCCCAAGGTAAATCTCTATCCCAGCCCGTATCACATGGGCTAGGTTTTGTTTTTTTCTGTCCTTCCCACAAATGAACAACTTATGTGTTGGGATTGTGTTTCACATCTCCACATTCTGTGTGCCTGGCTGGCATGCAGGAACTTTTTTTTTTTAATGAATGAATCAAGGGAATGGTCAAAGCTGTTTGCCTGAGATGGGTAGGATTGGGTTAATCATGGAGCTTGAGGGATGCCTATTATCTGTTATACAAATTATCTGAGAACCAGGGAATGTCTCTCAAACTAGAATTTAATGGTAACTCCCCCTGGCACACAAATTTTGAAACAGGAGCCTATTAAGGAGGGCATCTGGAGGGAAAGAGAGTCAGAAAGCCAGGGAGACCTCATCCAGAGTCAGCCTAAAACAACAGGTGACAGCATCAGCCAGAACAAGACACTAGTGCCTACAATTCAGACAAATTGAACATGACCAAAACTGTTAATTAAGAAAGACGATGAGTCCTGCGGGGGCTGTTGAATCATAGAGATCTCCAGGAGGGGGAAAGGAGATAGACAAAGGTCCAGCACAGAATAACCAGAAACCAAAGAGACAGATCCTTGGGGACCAGACACCCACTGTGTTCATGCCTAGAGAGGTTCCACCAGACGCACCCAGAGCCACCTTGGGTCACTCCAGCATCCAGGCTGGGATAGGCTTTTCCCATCCCAGGACAAACCAAGGGGCTCTGCACCTTCTTTCCCTATAGCCACCTGCACAGGCCTAATGGTACCTATCCCACTGTATCGCAATGTACCTGTTCACAAATCTGCCATCCCTAGAAGACTGTAAGTTCTTTGAGGACAGGGTCCATGTCTTACTCATCTCTTTTTCCCTAGAGGTTAGCATAATGTTTAATCACAGTAGGTCAATTCATTCTTTCATTCATTCATTAAGAGATGTTTGATGAATGAATAAATGGATGAATGAATGAGTAAATGAATGCATGAAACCTCCATAGAGCTATCCGAAAAAAGAAGTCAGGCACAGGGGCCTAGATGAAGCAGGTGTAGACCCCTTTCAACTAAGCTCGCTGAAAATTCTTGAATATTTACAGCAACCTGCTTGCTTCCCTGCTGAATAAATCCCTTTAAATTGAAAGTAGGAATAAAGGTAGATGGAGATGAGGGTTCTGTGTTTAAAGACAGCTTGTGGAAAGAGGAACCCAGGCAGGAGAGAGGAATGACAGCAATGAACAGGCAAGAAGGTATATCTGGTAATAAAACCCTAGAAAAGGAAGAGAATATAGGAGTCAGGGGATTTGTTCCCAACAATGGGTGTGTGAGGTTCATTCAGGGTGAGGGATGCAGGGAAGAAGAAATTTGGGATGCTCAAGGGAAGAGGACTGCAGGGGCCCAGAGGGGACCAGGCGTTCTGGGGATTGAATGGAGGTTGGGGATTCTTTGTCATGTGTCTGGGGCAGGCACCTACTCAGTAGTTGTGCATCTGCTCCAGCCAGTAGATGATAGAAGATGTGGAAGTTCCTTTCTCCTTTGAGCTGCTTCACCACTCGGGATTTCTCAAGCAGATCTGGCAGAGAATTAGAAAATAACATCTTGAGTGCTTGGGAGCTACTGCAGCTTCCCTCTAATTGTGTCCTCATCCCTGGTGTTCCTAGTGCTTGGGAAATCTCCTGGAAGTCTAATATTCCTCCTTCCTACAGGGACAGATTAGCAAAAAGGGATACCATGGGGCAGGTGGAAGAGAGAGACGGTGAACAAAATGGCAGAGACACGTACAGTTTGTGATGACGCCACCGAGGGGGGATCCCTTGAAGTCAAATTCAATATCCATGTATTTTCCCTTCAGAGAGAGACCAGAGAGAGAGAGACTTTGCTTCCTCCTCTTCTCACCACCCTGTCTGGGAGGGGACTGTACTACATTCCTCATTCTCAGGTCCCCACACCCTCTCCTCCCAGGTTGGGAGATGTTCACTCACAAATCGAGAGGAGTTGTTGTTGCGAATGGTCTTGGCATTGCCAAAAGCTGCAGAGATGAGGAGGGGAGAAGTGAGCTGGCTGGGGGGAGAACTGGGACTCTAGAGAAGGGAAGGAGGCAGGGCTTCCAGTCCTTGTGCCAATCTCAGATTTTTCAGGCTGAACGAGAGTGGAGGTTTTGGAGCATTGGAGAAGACGGTCTAGGACTGCATAACCCTGGGGCGGGGAAGCAAGGTGGGGAAGGCAGAGACCAGCATTCTCACCCTCCAGCACGGGGTTTGACTGAAGCAGTTGCTCCTTCACAGAGTTAACCTGCTCCTTTTTCCCACAGACAGCGGCCACGTAAGACATCACCAGCTTGCTAGCCTCTGTGCAGAAGAAACTTTAGTGTGGATACCTGCCCGTGGCCGACCCTTCCTCCCACCTTCCTCCGTAACTTCCGTCACCCCATCACCTCACACTCCCCTGAGTTAGAAACACTGGGACAGAACTTCTGGGGTGAGAGGGGACAGAACTAGGCCTAACTTGGAAAGAGACAAGAGGGTGGTTTGGAAGTGACTCACCAGTCTTCCCAGCTCCACTCTCGCCTGTGATGAGGATACACTGGTCTTGGTCCTGGTCCTTCAGTGACTGATATGCCACATTTGCCAGTGCATAGCTTGGGGAGGGGGGGGATAGGCAATGACCAATGGTGGGGCCAGTCCAAGACACCATTTTCCACTCAATCCCCAGCTCCCAGGTTCATCCACTCTCTCTATGTGGACCAGACTATTCAAGAAGTGACAGGCCTAGGAAGGGGCCTCCAGAGGGCCAGGGGAAGGAGGGACAGCTGGAGAACCCCCTTCAGGGGAACGGATAGAGGAAATTAGGATGCCTCACAGTCAAGAAGCTGTGGCCCAGTCAGCCTTCCCTTAGTCCTCTACTCACATATGGGGCTTCAGCTCATAGAAGGTATAGTCCTGGTATTTGGCAATGAACTCTGGGCCATAGATGGGCAGCTGTTGGTAGGGATTCACTGAGATCACCACATTCCCAATGTAGGTCTGGAGCCAGGAAAAAGGTGAAGTGAATGAGCCAGAGGGGGTTGGGAGGGGGTGAGGAGTGGGAGCGCATGACCTCTCTAGCCACACACCCACAGCCTGGGGCACCCGTACTGCACTCACATAAATCTCCTCATTTTCATAGCGAAGCTGAAGGTTCTTGAGCAGAGACTCCTCCACCAGGGGTTCCAGGAGAACAAGGTCTTCCACCCCCACAGTACCTTGCAGGAGAGGCATACCCAGAGGAGCTACTGATCCTGGGAGTAAAAGGGGGGGGGGCAGTTTGCTGATGTCTGCTCAACATTAAGGGCCAATAACTGTTTGAGGAGAGTGGGGGCAAAAGGACCTCTCCCCCATGACCTGGCCCTAGGGAGAGCCCCCAAACTTGGAGACGCCTGGACTAGTCCAAGCTGAGGGAGATGGAAACTATCAGCAAAAGGCGAGGGAATCCTCTGCTCCCTGGATTATGGTTGGTGGAGGTGGGGAACAGGGGTGGGACAGAATCACCTGCCTCTGACCACCAGGGCAAGGAAGGCACATAGTAGGCAGTGACAGGAAACAGAGTTGTGCTTGATGGAGAGAAGGCTGAGGAGGAAAGTGTAAGCAAAGCTTTGTGCTGCGGCCAGGTATAGAAAGCTCTCTCCCTCCTGCACTGAGGCCCTGGCCAGGGTCAAGACTCCCTATTTGCCCCCAGTGCTCCTTCTCAACCCCTACTTCTCACAGACTCTATTTCAGTCATCCAACCACCTATACTATTTCAGAAGTTCTTCCAAATGTCTCTCTTCCCCTATCATTGCTACAGTAAGCTTCATTTTTAAAATGGGGACTGGACAAGGCGATGAGTTAGAGGACAGAGACAGGAGTTCTTCCACAAAAAATTGGAATCCCCAAAGAAAATGAAAGTGAGGTTTTGTTTTCCCCAACAAACAAGTAGTTGTCAGGACCTTAGCATGGGCTATACATCTGTCCCTATTTTCCATCTCCAGCTTTTACACCCATTCCTGTAGCCTTTTGACATAGACTTTGCCCCAGAGGGACACACCCAGCTTTTTAGTAGCTGGTAGGAATGGACAAGGAGGAACAGAGTCAGAGCTGCAGGGAGGGTTGAGGGGCTTGGCCCCCACACAGTGGCACATGGCAGGAATACCCTAAGGAGGAAGCCCAGCCCTCCTTAGTCTTTTCTGTGAGGTTGAGAAGGCATGGTGCTCAGTGCAGAACAGAATTATTAGTCCAATGGTCGATGCCACTCCCAAACAGCAATAAAAGAGACACATCCTCCTACTGTCCTGAAGCTGTGAACCTCGGTGGGGGAGGGGAGGGGAGGAAGCAGGAATGGAAGTAGGGCAAGAAGGGGGCACAGGCTTCCTTCTCCCTTCTCTCTGCTTTCCCCAAGTTCCAGGAAAAGGGAGCGCTTGCCACTTCCTAGAAGACGCAACTGAGGAAGCAATAAGAATACTGATAATAGCAGTCTAGAAATCATGTAGCATTTACCATGAGCTGGGCAAGGCTCTAAACACTGCACATACACTAATTCTTTTGATGCTTACAATATCCCCATGAAGTAGGTACTATTATTATCTCATATTTTCCAGATTAAAAAAAAAAATCTACGTCTTTTAAGTAACTTGGCAGAGAAGAGTGAGAAGCAGGTGGTTGAAAGAAGGCATCTTCTTGGGGTTTGGACTGGAGGGGAATGAGAAAGTGATTGGTTGGGGGTAAGGAAGGGGAAAAGGAAGCAGGCCCCAGATAGGGCACCCCAAAATGTGAAAGAGGAGCAGCGACAGACCAAGGCAGGACTCACCTGACACCGGAACTAGAATGTAACTTCAGTGTCCCTTGGAGAACGGTGGATAAAATCCCAATTTGACAGGAAGGGAGCATAGGATTCGCAGGGCCCCAAGGGTGGTGAGGTGCCTTAGTTAATTGGAACTGTCCATGGTGTCAGGGAAACCAGGAAAGAGGCTGATCTCTTGCCAGTGTCCACTCTTCTCACCTTCCTTTGTGCTGCTTCCTTCAGCCCAGCTCCCTTTGCCAGTCAAGCCAGGAGAGGTCGGAGAGGGCTGCTCAGCACAAAGTCCAAGGCTGTCCCTGCTGAGGGTGTGGTTTACTTAACCCTTTACAGGCCTGAAGCCCCAGAGGGAGACACTAGAAAAGGGTATCTGGCTTGCTGAGGAGCTCAACTAGAGGGGAGTTCCTGCTCCATTATCCCCAAAATTTGGAAACGAGAGCCAGAGGAATGGAATTCATAGTCAAGAAAAAGATTTTCCAAAGAGGAGTCAGGAATTTTGTTGAGGAAGATAGGCTGGGGTGTTTTCCTAGCAAACAAAACAAACAAACAAAAAAAAGCAAAGAAGTACCTCCCTCAAACCTACCCTTCCTATCTTATTGAGAGTCAAGGGGTGTCAATGTGATTACTTGGGGAGCTAAGCAAACAAAATCCCCAAATTCCTCTCCACTTCCCTTCTTCTTTGAATCAGACCCCATCAGAGAGACTAAAAGATTAACTTTAGTAATGATACCTCACATTTGCATAGATGTCCTAGTTTCACTGAACTCTCAACTATATTATTTCACTGAATAGCACCATCCTGTGTGTTAGGCAATGCAGATACTCCATGAAAAAGGAAAATTAAAGGCAATCACCAGTCTCAGAGAAATTACACAATGTGCCCATAGTTCCATAAGCAGTACATGACAGAACCAGAAACAGAATGCAGCCTCCTTACCCTAAGTCTGCCATAGGTTGCAGTCCAAGTACTGATGTTTCTAATTTTAATCTTTCTTCAGCACTTGGATACTGAATAAGACCTTGAGATGCTATTTCCTGGCCTTTAGCCCAGTGGGAAATAGCTCCCTCTGATAGATAAGAAGCTTTTAAAATCCTGTTTTCCAGAGTATTCCCTCATCCATCCAGGAAAATTCCTAAATAGCAGCCCCCCGCTTACCATCCTCTTTTCCAGGCGTGCACAAAGAGCAAATTAGGTAATTACAGGCACTTAACTGAAGATGGAGACTTGATTCTCCAACTCTCAGCCATGGCTGCTTGGTTCAAGGTCCAAACTCTACTGCTCTCGCAGAAGCACTCTGCATAAGTTTGGCCCATCAGCAGTTCCATTATTAACCTGCTCTTACATAATTTATTGATCTACTATATATAACTGAAGGGGGGAAAATGTCAAGGAAAAAACAGACAAAGAGGAAGCTGAGTGGAAGTGACATCAAAACATAATCCCATTTATAGATGGAGCAGTATCAGTGTCAGAGGCAGAAGTGGCTACAGAACCCCTACTTTCCAGGAGAGAAAACAGACCTAGAGTGAGGAAACCACTTTCCCAGGGTCACACTGCTGCAAATCTAGCAGAGCTGGCACCAGAACCCAGGTCTCAAATCCTTTAGGCCAAGAACCTGCAGCCACTTGGGGTTTATCTGTGTGTCCACCCATTCAATCATTTGAGTGCCTTCTATGTACTCACATGAGAGAAGTGACTCTAAAATGAGATGAAAACCTCAGGATTAAAAACAATGGCATGAACATCACAGCTAGGGCAACCAACCCTGCTGGTTTGCCTGGGATGCAAGGTGGGTTCTCCTCACATGGGAATTAAATGCCATAACTAGGAAAGTCCTGGGCAAACTAGAACAAGTGACCAACTTGTTCTAGTGACCCAATTGAGTGGGTCAATTAACAAGGTAAGAAATACACATCCAATCCCAGGGTCAGCTGGGATTTCAAGATCTGTCAAAGCATCCCTGGGGTGGAGAGGAGGCATGGATGTGTGTGTGTGTGTGGGTGTGTGTGTAGCATTGTGATCTCCTTGCTTTCTAGGTAAAAGTGAAGCAACTGGAGCTTGTCAGTCTTCCTCTACTCTGACTCCTTAATCACCTTCCTTTCTCACCCATTACAATTCCTAGTCCTTGGAAGGGGCATGAGGGAACTTTCTGGGGTAATGAAAATGTTCTGTATCATGATTGTGGTGGTTGTTATACAGCTGTCTCAATTTGTCAAAACTCTGCAAAATTGTACACTTAAAGCTGATGAATTTTATTGTATATAAATTATACATCAATAAAGCTGGCAATAAATAAACAATTCCAAATCCTTTGGTGTTGATTTTTGACAAAGTTGGGAAGGCAGCAATCTGATTAAACCAATTCACTCATTAATCCTCCCAGAGATACCAATTCTTTAAAAGATGTTACACAAGAAAAATACGGAAATTTTCAGGTATGGTGAGAAAGATATTTGCTGGTAGAGGGTCTTCTTGGCTCTCATAAGTGATCTGTTGTTAATTAATGACAATGTTCATCAAGTAATTACTATGTGCCAAGCAACAAGCTAAGGGCTTTACACTCTTGCCATTCAAAATGAGGTCCACAGGCCAGCAACATCTAAATCACCTGGGAGCTTATTAGAAATGCAGAATCTTGGGCATCGCAGACTTACTAAATCAGAATCTGCATTTTAAAAAGATCCCCAGAAGATTTCTATGCATATTAAAGTTTGAGAAGAACTGCTTTATGCACCTTAACCTTTTTTCTCCTCACTAAAACCCTATAATGTAGCACGCCTAGCAATTATGCTTCTTTATTAAGTCAACCATTAATGACCACTTGTGTCTCTTACTTACCTAGTAGTTGTTATGGAAGGAAGAAAAAAGATTAGTTTTAACCTACCTAAATTTACATATGGTCTACATCCTATTTTGCCAACTCTCTGTCCTGAAAAAATAGACAATGGATTGCCATGCAGTCTAAATTAACAGAAGAAAGAAGACAGATACAGAATTAATATAAATGCTATACAGGATTCCCACAGCAAAGAAAATAGCCAATAAATAAATGAAAATGGAAGGTACCAGACTCCTACTACAGAAGCTGACCCTAGACATAATTGAAGTTTTTATTCCATGGCTCCTAATGCTCATTACAGCCCTGCTCCCACTTCCACCCTACACAAAGCTCTTGGCAGGCATCTCATAGCTGGACCCATAGGTTTTCCTCCAATCCCCAGTGGAGAAACAAGAGATACTTTATGCCATAAAAAAAGAAAAGAACCAAAACACAGAGTAGTTCCTGAACCAGGAGTAATCTATACTTTATTTTTCTATGAGACGGAACAGTAGTACAACATGCTACTCCTACAAGAATACTCCTTAGAGATCTGGCATCCTGGGAAATGATCCTGTCCAAGGATAGAAGTAAACCACTGCAGACTCAGGAACGGGGAGGGGAGGTTAAGAAAAAAAGGGGAATCAATGGCATGCAACACCATCTCATTAGAAAGATGAAACTGAGGAGTTAATTGCTGATTACCTGAAAATAAGAGATTCAAACAAGAAAAGCACATGTTCATTAAGAGAGACCACTATATAGTCTATAAAACTTTATTAAAATTGGGATTACTTATAAACCATACAATAAAAATGAAAAAAATACATGACATTTTTTCTTACAGAAAAGAGGGTGAAAATGACACCCGGGGCTAAGAGCCATCCCTGATAATTTTGTCCCTTTCAAACATTCATGAACGTTTATTTTAAATAGAAATGACAAATCTTTTACGTAAATAATACTAAGGCATAACCCACAGGCTAAAACTTACTCAGTAATTCCTTAGCCCTGCTATTTCAACATCGATTCCACAAACATGGAAAACTGTGGCAACTGCAGGCTGTAACAGTTTCTAATATTCACATTATGAGCTATCTATTAAGATAAAAATGCTGCTCATGATTCGACATGTTCAGAGCAAGTGATTTCACCATTTTCATGTTATCATCAAGTGTGAAAGAGGAAGACAACACACATGGGTGGGTGTGTGACCACTCCCATCCCCACTGAAGCTGCAATGTGACATTGGCCTGAATCTGCTTTGATTATTCCCAGCAGGCTCTGGCACCTGTCACCTAAGGCACCAAACACCCTTATCAAGGGAGTAACCATCTAGAATCTAACTTAATAGCAATCTGAATTCATAAGCTAAGACATCAAGGGACACCTCTGGGTCACAATTGCCTAGGTTCCCCTAAAAAAATAATAAATTTCTGCTACATGGAAACAGAAGCAAAAGGTTTAGGTCCATGTGCCTTGTGCAATGGCTATTTCATATGTTTATTACTTGGTTTCAGTGCCTATATAACATGAAGGCACAGTAAATCTGTCAAACTATCCTCTCCTCCGTTCAGATAAAATTCTTGGCATTTCAATACAGTTTATTATCTCATATGTCAGACCTGAGTCTGAAGGAATACTAGAAGGACATTTAATTTCCTTTCCTCCTACTTCAACTTGCATTACTCAATTCAGAGAAGTTATGAGTACACAGCTAGGAACCATTTTTACACAGGCATCCATCTTTTCTACTGGAACAACAAAAAGACTGAGGCAATTACATAATCCATTCCCAAGCCTTTTATGGATATCGGGGCCTGGGGAGACTACCTGGCCTATTTGAGTCCTTTCATTCCTCAAACCTCTATCATACATGCCGAGTGGGGGCTGGGTTAAAGGAATACAGTTAACCAAAAAAGAGCTGGCCCTAGAATGAGATACATTAGCACAAATAGAACAGTGGGCCCCAAAGAGCTATCATCAGCAAAATTCCCTTTGTAACAGACATAAAAATTATGAATTTAGGGGAAGAAATAAACTAGTTTTGGTGGGAAGCAGTGAGTGAGAGGAATTTCTTATTAAAAGGTATCAAAGTTGCTAAATTTTCCTTGTTTTTTGGTCATTGTGTTGTTGGTCTTGTGAAAATAATCTGAGTGGGAAAGTGAAAAGAAAATGTTTTAGGCCGGTTGCCTCTTGTGTTCCTATTAATGGGAGTTATGCTCTGCACAACTTGGTCAGACTGATTAGGAGACAGATTTTCAAAGCTGATAAGACCCTGAGCCCTGGAGCCAATTTACGGCTTGATATTTGCTGAGCAAGACGCTGATGTGGCAGCAGACATGGCTCCAATGTCCAGCTCACTCCACAGTTATCCCTTCAATCCTTCTTGATGTGATTGGTCTGAGAGATGAGACTGTGCTGAAATTGCAAGAGCTATAACTGCCAGAGAAAATTAAATGGGGGCTTCAAGTAGTGACTTAGCCAGCAGACTGAGTGGCCAAGAGGCAGACAAGAGCAGCTCCTAAAGGTTTACAGAGTCAAGCAATCCCCAGGCACACGGAGGCTCTGAAGCATCTGGGAAGAGCCACACAGGCAGGCAGGGCAAGGACACACAGCACACCAAAGAGGCACCGTCCTTCACCGTCTGAGAGCAACTCTCTGCTGCAGGACCAATTGTCATCTCCGCTGACTACAGCTCAGGTCTCCCACTACCAGACAGGGAGTAATAAACTGAGTTTGATTTTATTCACCCCAAATTGAAACAGTGAAAAAAACTGGTCTTGAGATGGCAACTGTATTTCACAGGAGTTTACTAAACAGAAAAGGAGGAGAATCTTTCCCTGCTTCACAATGCTTTCTCACTAAAATAAATATGAGTCAGGAAGTTACCCTGGAGGCAAGCTACCACCTCCCTAAGTAACTATTTTGGGGAAGGCATCCAAAGTCTCCAGAGAATCCTGAGACCACTCACAGAGTTGAATTGTTTTTTCAAATCAACTTATGCTCAAATATACTAGGTCTCAATTTCTACAAATAAGGTTTAAAAAATAGTATATTTCAGAAGTTTTAATAGTTCTTTGCAGCGGGATAAAATTTCACCATATACATAATTCACAAAGGCATAAATGTTTCCCAATATAAAGTTTCTTTGACTCTGTAACTTTAACCTATAGCATTTGCCCAAATACTGCTCATTTTTCACTTTCTACTAGATGTCACTTTAGGAGAGTTTAAGCCTGTGGGAAACACTGGTGGATATAATCAACTGGCCACCTGGAAGGGAGTCTCAGAGCTGACATTTTGGAAGTCAGCAATGGAACCCAGGCCTTTCAAAATTATCTGCTAAATGGCTGGTCTGAAGAAGTCATTACAGCTTTAAAAAAAAATCATCTGCGTTCTCCATGACCACGGTAAGCCAGTAAGTATGATGCTGTGCTCTTGCCATGAGTGTCTATCTTCCTGGCTAAAGTAATTACAACTTTTTCCAAGGTCCGAGGGTGACGATCACAAAGAACCAAGCATATGACAGACACTTGGGAATTTGATCCCTCATAAATTTCATTGCTGGTTTATAAGGGTACTTTACGATGGCAAAAGAATCTGAAACTAATGCCAGTCTAATAAAAGGCAGCATGAATCTCTGGTCAGAAATGGTACTGCAAAAAAGTATAATGTTCATGGAAAAACACGTCTGATCCTGATGGCTGAAAAAGCATCCAGAGGGATAAAGATAACCTGGAGGTCTACTTCCTGCCAATGAAAACTGTCATAGCTTATAATTGTATTACAAGAAACTTCACAGTTTCAGGGCTTACAAATTAGCCAGATTTGGGGGAATATAGGTAGTAAAAAAAGGCTAAAATGAATGGGTAGAGTGGATAGACAAAGGAAGGGAAAAAAAGATAGTTTCTTGACTCCACAGCAACTCAAAGATACATGACTCCAATGACAGGAAAAATGGAGAACCTATTAAAAGCATTTAAATCCCCTAAACAAAATCACTTCTCCTAGCTAGAAGGAATAACACTATAAACCAAGAGGAAGTGGGTATAAGAAATGAAACAAAATCTGAATTGTATATACTTCACAGGTGAGGGATAGACCCTTCCTGAAAGGGCAAGAGGTAGGGGCGAGGGACAAGGAGGAATGGAAAGGGAGGAATGCAAATGTATTTTTAAGATGTAATTGAAAGTTGAATATAATATAAAGCCCAAGAGACTTTACCTACAGAAGAGCCTAAAGGCATGTTCCTAAAAGCAAGAAGGACTCATAATGTTACGAGTGAAAACTAATTCAAGGCTCAACACTACAGCTCCTGGGGCTTTAATGAATAATCCATACTAATAAACACATAGGGCCTACAGGGCTTGTCACTCTGGAGTACTTGCTGGTCTAGAACATAAATTTGCTACATTTTCAAAAAGACATTCATTTAAAAACATTTAAAACAAATAAAACTTCATTTTTCTCTCAAAACAGTTAAATCAAGGATTATTCTAGTCACTGAAATAAATGCTGAACTGAAAGAGGCTCAGACTTGTGAATTTCCCTCTGGAAGTTGCAGCCTATAGTTTGAAAAGCATTACTGTACTTATAATAATTCTCACTTTGAAGGGCCAGCCACAGTGACAAAAATGTCAAGATTGAATCAACTTTCAAAGAGGAGCTAGAATGCCATGTTAGCTATGGCCAACCATTTTCTTTGGGAACATAAAATTGGACTGATAGCTTTACCAATGATAAGCAAACTACCATAATATTCACTGCTTTATCCACTCTGCTTCCTCAGGGATCTCACAGAGACCATTTCCAGGGGGAGGTCTACTCAGGCCTCTCGTTTCAATGTGAGAATATCTGCACCATCTCACCCTGTTTCAAAGGGTTGAAAGCAATTGCACAACACATGCAACATGGACCACCAAGGCACCAAGCCAGTCCACATAAAGATAACTGACTGACACCTAAGCCAGGAAGTTGTTTTGTATGACAGCAGGACACCGAGAATCTGAGTCCTCCTCCTCAGAGGATGCTTCTTCAAAGATTTCATCCTGGGCAATAAGGCTTCCTAATCCATACTCCTGCTCATGAACAGAAACTTCATTTGGCGTGAGGTGGGAGGAGCCTTCCACAAAGTCAGCAAATCTGTAAAAAGAGAAAATAACTCTCATTAGGAATCTGTCTTCAGTCCTTTCTGAATTTCTTTAAAATAAGAAGAAACTGAACTCCCTGATATACTCACAGCTCAAATTATATTGACTCTAGCCAACATCTCTGTCCTTACTCTGGCAGGTAAGTAGACTAAAGCAAGAAATAAAGAGAAAAGGAAACCTGGGAACAGAGGCCAACATCTCCAGCAACTCCACCTTGCTTAATAAGCACTAGCCTATCCTTTCTAGTTACAGAAGTGCTAAGGTTCCTTTAGTCATCCATAATCCTGATAAGAGAAGATTAAGGGGCATTACACAGTTATTCATGTTTACAGCCCTATAAACTTCATGCCAGGTACAGTTGTTCCCAACCGAAAAGATAAAAAAACAAAAAAACAAAAAAAACCTCAGAGAGCAGGCCGACCCCGTGGCGCACTTGGGAGAGTGCAGTGCTTGGGAGCGCAGTGGCGCTCCCGCTGCGGGTTCAGATCCTATATAGGGATGGCCGGTGCGCTCACTGGCTGAGCGCGGTGCGGAAAACACCAAGCCAAGGGTTGCGATCCCCTTACCGGTCACGAAAAAAAAAAAAAAAAAAAAAAAAAAAAAAAAAAAACTCAGAGAGCAATGCAAAACTTTCACAGGGGACATAATATGGTACTGGCTTATTCCCATCTCAGTGCTACAAACAAACTAGAGTAGACAGTTCCTTGCAGAAACAGGAAACAGCCTACTGCTTAACATATGACGATAAACATACCTTTCTCTTGACTACTCCTAGATAAACAGGAAAACAAAGGCCACAAATACAACATGACTATCTAGAAGTACGACCTCTGTTAGAAGTCAAGTTCACAATTACTGACAGATGCTTGGTATAACTGGCCAAGAGTTTACCTTTTTGGGGACTGGATTCGAGAAACAGTCTTCCAAGCAGAGCAGTCTGGACTGTTACAAAATTCTCGAAGCTCCTCTAAAGCCTTTCGGGTCTCTACCTCTCCTTGTATCCGATACTCTTCTTCTGTCAGGAGACGAGGGGGGACAGGCTTTTCTGTTGCCTTACACATCTTTCTGTGCTCACCAAATAACATCATAAATCATTAATCAGCAATCTATATCCATTCTTACCTCTATCTCTCTTTAGTGGGCCAAGCATATAGCAGAAGGCCTGAACATTAAAAATCATCACTCCCACATTTCTTTCATAGACATCTTGAGTTATAACAGACTCCTAACACATTAGACAATGAGTGACAAGTCAGAGTAGTCAAAATTATTCACTAATGTGAATAAATTCACTTACTTTCCAATTAATGATAAACCATATAATTACTTTCTTTCTTTCTTTTTTTTTTTTTGTCTTTTATCTTTTTCCGTGTCCGGCAACGGATTGCAACCCTCAGTGTTGCCCCCGTACCAGGCCGGGGACCGGCAATGGGATCGCAACCCTCGGTGCTGCTCCCGCGCCTCGCTCAGCCAGTGAGTGGGAACCGGTCCGTATGCGGGATCCAAACCCTCGGGCAGGAGCGCAGCTGCGCTTCCCAAGCGGCGCACTATCCAGTGCGCCACCGGGCCGGCCCAATATATTTATTTTCTAATAAACGGAAAAACAACAAGAGTATGATGGTATAAAACTGTGGTCCATTAACTTGGTTCCCCAAACTGAAGGCATCACTTTGACTATATGCAATAGAACAACCATTGATAACCTCGCTCAGTGTTGCCCCCGTACCGGACCGGGGACCGGCAACGGGATCGCAACCCTCGGTGCTGCTCCCGCGCCTCGCTCAGCCAGTGAGTGGGAACCGGTCCGTATGCGGGATCCAAACCCTCGGGCAGGAGCGCAGCTGCGCTTCCCAAGCGGCGCACTATCCAGTGCGCCACCGGGCCGGCCCAATATATTTATTTTCTAATAAACGGAAAAACAACAAGAGTATGATGGTATAAAACTGTGGTCCATTAACTTGGTTCCCCAAACTGAAGGCATCACTTTGACTATATGCAATAGAACAACCATTGATAACCTCGGAACCTATAACCATTCCACATTCACTATGCAAGGTGATGACATGCTACAGATTACATCTTAAAATAAGACTAGGACTTCCAGAGCAATCAGAGAGCCAACATGAAATTAGCTGAAACCAAGTGGAGAGGCACGGTGTAAAAATGATATAATTTGCACCACCTAGTGGTAACAGGAACACATGACACTTTACTGTATGGTTTTATTCTATATGAAATGACTAGAATAAAAATATAAAAATGCCTAGGAGTCTTAAAAAATAAACTCGGTAAGGAACAAAAGCAGAAGCATAATATAATAACTTTTTCATTAACAAAGAGGCTCCCAGGTCAGCACCTCTGCTGCAACTGCATCCCACATTGCATGTATCAATTCAAAGTTATAATGCCTTTCAGTCACCTGTAGGTGATGTACAGCCACTTAATAGGGTACTCCAGGTTCTTGGTACACAGAGCAATGATGATAATGGCAAGGGCAATGTGTGGTATCTGGATGCTAGAATACATGAAACACAGGCCCACCAGCTGCAAGGTCCAGGTCAGCAGGTTGATACTTCGTTCATTCTCCAAGGGCCCATACTTGTAACACACTGCAAAACTCAGGAATCCAACTGTGAGGATGTAGCCTATGAAAAGAGTTATCAGAAGATACTCTTTTTCATTCAACTACACTTGGCAAAAAATAATTTGTGTGAGGAGCAGTAGTAAATTCACTATATATAGCCCTATTGAACCAGGAAATCAGACAAGATCTTTACTCAATTCACACTTTTTTATTATTAGGGTAAATTTATCTCTTTAAGTGTCTATCCTTTCTGTTGTCCCAAATATATTTGGTTCAAATGCAGCATTAAAGCTACATGTTGAACAGCTCTGAAACAGCCTATTTAAAAAACCCAATATATGAAAATCCAGATTAATCACCTCTCAAACAGTAGATCAAGGGATACTATCAGTATGGCCAGAGGATTCTCACTTTATAGAGAAGATTCACTGCAGAGTCCTTTACTTCTTAAGGTCCCCAAGTGTATTTAAAATATGATTATAATAATAAAGTCAATTTACAGCTTTTCAGAAAGATGCTTATCGTGTAAGGAGAGGTGGACTTATTATAAATGCCAACAAATTAAAGTCTTCTCCTTAGCAGCATCATTTTAATTTAAGAGAAGATGATAACTGTAGAAACAAGTGAAAAACTATGATTTTAAAAAGTTAATAAAATGACATGAACTATTAACTCCTATAAGCAGACAATATCTTTTAATGATCAAATTAACTAAAACAGCCTATAAACACACAAAGAAGCAAAACCAACAACACTTACTTAAAAGATACTGCCAGTAACACCTCCAGATCTCTTGTAAATTTTTAAAAACTAGTTGAATGAGGTACAGAGAAAATGACCAGCCTCCCACCAGGATGATGTAAATGGGACTTTTCTAAGACAGAGAGTAGAAGTGAAAGCAAAAAGTTACAACAGGCTTTCCATACATAAAAAAAGCAAAATGGATTTTAAAAGTTCAAGCTACTCCAAATGCACAAAAAACATTTCTTAAAAAGATATCCTTTATATTTAAAATAGCACAGTCTGCAAGGAACATTGGGAAGATAAATTGCTAAATAACTTAAAAGCCTGGCAATGTAATTAGAAAACTGGAAGGAGACTTTAAGCTCCCACTGAGCACAGGATTTTAAATAAAAAAAGAGAGTTTGTATGTAATCAAGCTCCAAGTTTCATCATGGAAAATACCTTTCTGAATCAAAGAAAGAGTAGGACATTGACTCATCAACCATTAATGCAAATTTTCAGTGTTCTAAGAATACCTAGGAAAACAAACAGTCCTTCAGCTGTCCAAGCTCATCCTAACTGCATATCAGGATTCTGCTACTTACCTTGGGCATAAACTTGGACAGCATGAAAATGATGATTAGTAGAGAGGCCACAATTCCCACACTCATCCCAGTGGAATAGTAGAAAATTTGACTTCTGCAGAGAAAAATTTATTTCATGACTATATGTATATACTTCTGCTATGATTTGAATGTCTGTCTACCCCAAAGTTCATGTTGGAACATAATCCCTAATACAGTATTTGAAAGGCAGGTCGTTTGAGAGGTGATTGGATCATAAGGGTTATGCCCTCATGAATGGATTGATCCAATCGTGGATTAATGGGTTAATGGTTTAACGGTTTATCAGAGAGTAGACTGGGGCTTATGCAGAGGAAGAAAGTATGTGGAAATTCTCTTGCTGAGCCTCTTGCCATGTGATAAATGCATCACCAGGGACTCTGTAGAGTCCCAAGAAGAAGGCCCTCACTAGTTATGCCCCCTTGACCTTGACTTCCTAGCCTCCAAAACTGTGAGAAATATAGTTATTTTCTTTATAAATTACCCAGTTCCAGGTATTCTGTTATAAGCAACAGAAAATAGACTAATACAACTTCATATATGGCATTGTTGAAACTAGGAAACTAGGACAACTAACCCAGCCAAAAAATTTTTAAAAGGTACAAAGTTAGAGCAGATAATTTACCTAAAACTTGAGGTCAGAGAACTGTAGACACTGATACTACGTAGTAGTTGCCAGATTAAATATCCCAGTAATAAACTTCTGCATAGTCTCCTACTCCCATCCCCATCATCTCTCTCAACCCAATTTTTAATAATAATAATAATAATAATAATAATAATAATAATAAATAATCCTTCTTCTGAAGAACTGCACAGCTTCTCTGGGAAGAAGGAAGGGGCAAGAATACTGCCCAAGTGGAGAATGGAAACTGGAACTGATCTGATTACCCTGAAGGATAAACCAATCCTTTCTGGGGCCTAAAACAGAGTTCCTACTCCCATTCCAGGCTCTTTCTACCAGTTATTCCTCCTCATTGTGAGTTTCTCTCAGGATCCCCCAAATAAGGAACAACTTCCTCTAACCCCACCCTGACTTCAAACTCAAAGTGTTAATCTTTCATTCATTACTCCACAAATAATCTTTTTTTTTTTTTTTTCCCCTTTTTGTCTTTTTTCGTGTCCGGCAATGGATCGCAACCCTCAGTGTCGCACCCGTACCGGACCGGGACCGGCAACGGGATCGCAACCCTCGGTGTTGCGCACACACCTCGCTCAGCCTGTGAGCGGGAACCGGTCTGTATGTGGGATCCGAACCCTCGGCGGGAGCGCTGCCGCACTCCCAAGCGGCGCACTGTAGCAGTGCGCCACTGGGCCGGCCCACAAATAATCTTTTTACCTGTGTACAAACCTAATGCTGATTCTACCTTCATTCAGTGTTTATTATCTATATTTTTTCTTTATATTTGTACATGTCAGTCTCACCTATCTTTACCAGAAATTCCTAAAGGAAGGAAATAATAAGTAGTTGATGTCTGCCTCTTTATATCTATACAGGAGGAAACTCATCAACACATGATCCTGTAAAAATGAGACCTTAACACATTACTTCTAACGGTGGAAAGGGTGGGGCTGTTCAACTTCCTAGTACTGGCTAACACTTATTGACCTAATAATGATGGGTCAACCTAATGGGGGAATTTCTTTATTACCAATATTAGTCAAATAAGAAAAAATAAAAATCTTAACACATATTAAATTATTTTTAAAAATATCCAAGCAGGCAATGGCTAAGCCAGAAAAGGGGATTGCAGTACTTACAGTTTTTATGACAAAAGTCAAGCAAGGTGGGTAGAAGACTTGTCATTCTGCACACTAATCTTAGAACCTACCTGCTCAGCAAGTCTCCACAAAAAAAGAGCATAAGTCCAAGGAAGAAAACAAGGAAGAGTTTGGGGTCAAATCCTGAAATAAATAAAGATTTTTGCTTAATAAAGGAAACAAACAGTAAAGGCATTATAGAATTAAAGGCATGTTGGCACTATGGGTCAGCTACAGTAAAATAAATGCAAATAGCCTACCTCAACAGCTTTGTAAAATCCACACAAAGCCTGGGCACCATTCCAAAGAGAAAGTATAATTGGGTCTCTGTCTAATCTGTACTTTCCTAAAGATCTTATTCTTATTTTGGCTACCTACACTAAGGCTAAAAGAAACTAGGCTTCACTTAGGATAAAGCTAGAATCAGCGCCATCAGCACTTCATACAATCACCCACAAGGGGTCTCTATCACTCTGGATTTCAAACGTTAAGTCAGTTAGGCAGGCAATTCAGCATATTTGCCTAGAACTTTGGGTCAAGGCCTCATGTTGTTCTCTAACTGGCTGCTTTTCTTGCCCAACAAAACCACCAACTTCCCTTCACTACACAACGCTGTGCTGGAAAAGTGTACACACAAACACATCTCACCCAGGACCAGGGGGCCCAAGTAAAGGCCCCAAATGGCAAACCAGACACTCCCACAGCTTTCACATCCAAGAGCTCTAAGTCTAGGGGAGGCCCACAAACAACAGGAGCAAGAGGAATCAGTAAAAATAGAAGGAACACCAAATAACAGTCCCGTCCTACAGAACCAAAGAACTATGGAACCCTAGGACAATTGGAAGGGCACAATCTATTTCACAGCAAAACCTAGAAATATTTCTACTACTCATAACATTCCAGGACCCTGGGTAGTAACCAAGGAGAAACCAAGTCAGGGTGAATACAACAGGATTCACCTCCTCTGAAACTTTCTCAGACATCTTCAGAGAAGGAAAACTCCTAGTTCCACTGAATAAGACTTAAACTGCAGTGGTCTTCCCTTTTATTTATGGTCCCACAAATACTCTTACTTGTAAAGTATAATATTTAATTTTACCTTTCTTCAGTTTTTATTGTTTAACCATTCATGTCTTTAAATGTAGGTCTGTACACATCAGGACAACTACCTTTGTCTAGGAGTGTCCAGAAGGCAGGAAAACATCTGTCTGATTTACTCTCTGAATAGTAGGCGTATTAGCTCAGGGTCATTGGCAGTATTAGGAATACAAGTCTTCACAGCTCTAAGTAAGGAGGCACTCATAATGACCTGAGGTGGAGTCTCAATTCTAGACCTAAAAGGTCTGATATGGTGTGCAGTCTCCATGAACTGTTTGGAGCAGTAGTGTTGCACTCAGGGTTATAATCAGAACCTAAATGGAGCTGTCTTGGGCTGACTTCTCTGTCTCACTAATTATACCATCCAAAGCTCAGTCCCTTCTCACTATAGAATCCATCAGAAAAACAGAGGTGAGACTTACTCCGGGTCACAATGACACTGTACTTGGTGTCCTTCTCTATAATCTCAACTTTGAGGCAGGTTTTTGTGCTGTATAGACCCACGTTAACATAGGTGTCATTCAATTTCTCTTTTAAAAAGGAGGAAAAAAAGTTCCAGATACTAAACTGCTCTAGCTCCTTCAGTTTCTCCTCATTCTCCACCTGGGTGACTCGTACCAATTTGGAACTATTTACCCGGATCTGTAACACAAGTAAAATCGGGATGAGAAAGAAGGAAGTAGGAATTTTAAATTTTCACAAATACATTTTTTAAAAAAATCCTTAGAGTAAATAACTAAATCAGTAATGGCACCAGTTTTCACAAGGCTTATCAGAAATACAGAGATGCAAGCAGCTAAAACACAACTGGGCAAATAATACTACACATGATACAGAGAGACAGCTAGTAGACATGTTAACATGTTCTGAATCTACTATTAGGCCAGAACACGGGGGAAAAAAAGACTTTCAAGCTGAAAGAGTTATTAATATAGATATTTATGAGAGATCATACAAAACAAGGGTGTAGAATATTAAGAAAACTGCTAGGCATAAACAACCCCAGAAAACTGAAAATGTTTCCCATAATCACAGGCTGAGAAGTTCAATACATTGTCACAAATCACTGATTATAGGTAAATGTTGGTTATAATGTGCCCCAGATGGAATGATTTTTATATCAGACAATAAAAAAGAGAACTAAAAAAAACAAAAAACAAAAAACACAACCACAGCCTACCCTCATGTTTTTGATGTGAACAACAAATGCCTTTATCAGTAACTATGTTTATAGCAGCAGCAGCATTTCCAAAAGGACACATTTTGTTCAATCACTATTACAAGCAGACACTCTTTCTTGCCAGGTGACTTAACAGTGTTATGAAATAAATGAGACCAAAGTCATTCTATCAAGAGGAAACTTCAGCTCAGGGGGTTTATGAAACACCTCATGTAAAATCAAAATAGAATAGAAACAGCAAGGCAAAAGAGTTTACATCCTGACAGGCATGCAGTAGTTTCCAGGCCAAAGAAGACATAAAGCCTTTGAAGAGAAAGAGAGCTGTGTGGGTGTGTGGCAGGGGCGGGGGCGGTTGTGGGTGTGCATGCGTGTGTACACGGGTGCTGGAAAGGAAGGATGAGAAGAGAAGGAATTTGTTTCTTTGGGAAGAGGAAGAAGGAAAAAAGTTTACCTCAGGAACACAAAGTAGGCATATATGCTATTGATGAAACACAATTCAGGATAATCTCAACCCTAACAAGATTGTTAACAATACTTTTTTAAAAAAATTGTGTGTGAGGGGTAAAAAGTATCAATGTACTCACTAATCACAGACAGATAGATAATCACAGAAGTTGTCTCTGCCAGGGGCTACCAAATTATTACCTGTATCCGTGTCCACACATCATGCCATTTTGGGATAAGCATATTTTTATAACAGAATTGTTGGCTGGAACACATATCATCAACTCGGGATTCCTGAAGCATGACCACCTTTACATCAATCCCACCTTTATGCAAAGAAAGAAAACGAGAATTAAACATAACATAACTACCTAACAACTATAACTCATTTCATAAAAAGAATTAAATGGACCACTTTCTTAAACTTGGGGTTAAAATGTCAGCCAGACTGAGAAATAAGAAAAAAAAACTAAGATGAGAAAAGAAATAAGGCAGAGTCTTATTTCTGTCAAATTTAATTGCTGTCTATCTCATTTAACCCTCACAAGAATGCCATGAAGTAGGCACTCTCATAATCCCTATTTTACAAATGAGGAATCTGATGTTTAAGAAAGATTAGGTAGTTTGCCCAAAGTTACACAGACAGTAAATAGCCTAAAAGATTCACGCCCAGGTCTGACCACTGTCTTAACCACTAGATATCCTGCCTCCCTTTTAACCACTAGGTATCCTGCCTCCCTTTTATAGTAAGCTAAAGTAACCCCCTCTTGATTTTCTCCGTTCCTTTCCTGAGTAAGATAAACAAAATTGGCAACATTTTTTATATGTAGTACTTTAAGAGGACACTAAAAGATTGCAAAGTTGCTTTCTTCCAGCTGTTTTCTTTCACTTCAAGTCTTAAGAGTAGCCAATGATTGATTATATGCAGTTCCTCTGATTTACCAAAACAAGATTCTCCCCTCAGTTTGTATACAATCTCAGCTAATTCAAGGTTTAAAAGTGACCACTCCCCTATACAAGGGGTCTTCATAAAGTTCACAGAAAGACTCGCATTATCTTTCAATTCCATCTTTCCACAAATTTTTTGAAGCACCACTGTATCTTCCCACTCAAGTTTGCCCAAGCTACCTTCTTTACCACAAAACATTTAAGTAATTTCTTCCTTGAATTCTACATTGTGCTTATCAATTTATCAAGTGTTACTCTAAGTGGAAATTTAGTTATCAATTTGTTTTAGTATAAAGGTGGGTAATTTAAATAAACTAAAAAACAAAAACCCTCAACCAAACATTAGAGAGCCAAAGTTACATACACAAAAAGGTACTGATGCTCACCAGTTTTAGGGTAAAACTAAGACTAATTTTGAAGTTAAATTCAGACTTAAACCTAAATTTAAGAGACAAAACTATAAAACTTAGAAGAAAACATAGGTATAAATCTTCATGACCTTGAATTAGGCAACGGTTTCTTAAATATGACACTAAAGTATAAGCAACCAAAGACAAAATAGGGAAATTAGATTTCATGAAAATTAAAAACATTTGGGCTTCAAAAAACACTATCAAGAAAATATACAAAATGGGAGAAAATATTTATAAATCATACTTCTGATAATGATCTCACACCTGGAATATATAAAGAACTATTACAACTCAACAATAAAATGATGGTATTTTTTTTTTTAATGGGCAAAGGATTTGAATGGACATTTCACCAAAGAAGATATACAAATGGCCAATAAGCTCATGAAAACAGGCTCAACATCCTTAGTCATTTCGGAAATGCAAATCAAAATCACAATGAAATACCACATCACACCCCCTTGGATGGCTATATTAAAAATAGAGGACAATAACAAGTGTTGGTGAAGATATGGAGAAACTGAAATACTCATATATTGCTGGTGGAGATGTAAACTGGTAAGTCTCTGGAAAAGTTAGGCAGTTCCTCAAAAAGTTGAACACAGAGTTACCATATAACTCAGGAATTCCACTCCTAGTTATATACCCAGGAGAACTGAAAACATGTTCACACAAAAATGCGTACATGAATGTTCATAACAGCATTATCCATAATTAAAAAGTGGAAACAACCCAAATGTCCATCAACTAATGAATGAATAAACAAAATGTGGTATATCCACATAATGGAATGTTATTCAGCCATAAAAAGGAAAGAAGTACTGATGTATGCTACAACATGGACGAACCTCAAAAACATGCTGAGTGAAAGGAGCCAGACAAAAAAAGGTCATATATTATATGATTCCATTCACATGAAATGTCCAGAACAGGCAAATCCACAGAGACTAGATTAGTAGTTGCCAGAGACTGGGTGGAAAGGGGAACTGGGAGTGACTACTAAGGTGTATGGGATTTCATTTTAGAATGATTAAAATATTATGGAATTAAGACAGTGGTGATGTTTGCACAACCTTGTAAATACTGAAAACCACCAAAAAGGCAAATTTTATGGTATGTGAATTATCTCAATTTTTAAAAAATCAGGTCTTGATATACTATCAGTTTCTTACTAGAGTTTAAACCAATAGTAATTTGAATTTCCTCCAAGCCTATCTTTCATAAAATAAACCTTTAAAAAACCCTGTTGACATTTATCTCACTTATAAGCCCACAAGTATACTGAAAGAATACCCACTCACAAATATGGATCAACAGTTTATTTTCTTCTGAAGAGTGAATAGTAAAGTTATATGAAACTTTAAAATACTGTATTTACAAATTCATTGAAGCCTGCAAAACAATGGGAAGTATTTAAAAAAATAAAAAGTTGAAGAACCTATCACTTCCTTAAACAACATCAGTCTATTTACAAAGCCCCAAGTAAAAACATACACCTGCCCCCCGCAATTCACATTTATTAACTCCTTCTCTCCCACAACACCAAGTAATATAACACTACACCTTTTTAAGCCCATTATTATTTTCAAGATGGTAGTAAAATACAAATAATGTTCCAATAGCACAGGCCACAAGAAAAACTTATAACAGATATCATTGTTTTTAGACTAACTTTAAAATTCTCCAATGCCATATTCCTAAAGAAATAAAACTGTTGTATAAGAAGCAATGTCAGAATTAATATCTTTTAAAATCCAGTTATTTCTTTTCCTGAGTTCCACACCATTCAAGGGAAAGAATTTTAAGAAAATAAATAAACCTCTTTAATAATAACCTCCTACAGGGCTGGCCAGTTAGCTTAGTTGGTTGGAGCACAGCCTTTTAATACCAATGTCACATGTTCAGATCCCCAAACCAGCCAGCCACCAAAAATAAAAAAATAAAAAAACCCAAAACCTCCTACAGAAGTCAGCACCTTGGCCAGCCACATCTATGGAAATGCACCCAGAGGGAAAAAGATACCAGTACAGTCTCAGGTGGATAATCTGTGGAAACAATCACCACTCCAGCTGTAGCTTAAATTTTTAGAAACAAAGAAGTAAAACAAACATACAAGTTTAATGCTCATGTTAAATGAAATGCTCATGTTATACCTTGTGCTTCCCATAATCAAAATGACATACATCACCTTTTCTTCCCTTCACCAAAAGGAGTTAGCCAGCATGGTAAAAAGCAGAATAAATTAAACATTCAGTAAAATGCTTTCTGAACTTCTTGCAATTTAGTGAATCATAATTTGCTTACTATATTTACCTATAAAACAGCTACTCAAAGGTTAATAACTTCACATTTACTTGTAATCATTGCAAACTTACTTTTCACCTACTTTTCATTCAACACACTGATCATTTAACATCTACAGGTAGAAGGTAATGAAAACGATTCATAATATGTGAGGACAGGAAGGAACCCTAAAGAGTCATGAAAAACCCCTCTTCTAACTCTTAAATAGCCTCTATTCATTTCTCTCAAGAGGTAATCCAATTCATATTTAAAAGTCTTCTTAAAAACTAGCATCATAAATCGGGGGCTTAGCAAAGAATTATTCAGTGGGATGCTGGGAAAACTGACTATTTAGAAACTAAAATCTATCTAGATCTTCACCTCACACCAAATACCAACATGAATTACAAATTAAAAAGCAAAATTTTTAAAAAGTAAAATTTACCACACACACAAAAATATCAATTCAATTTTGGAGGCCTTTTTAAATGTAAAAACAACGGAAATAAATCTAAAGAATGAAATTAGTGACCACAAAAAAATATAAACCTTCTAATTAAAAAATATAAAAAGAGGCAAACAAATTGAGGAGTACTGCGATAAATTGTTTATTAAAAATACATATCCTTAATATATAAAAAACCTCATAAATTTCACAAATTTGATTTTGAAAGTACACAAAAGTCCCAATAAATAATACTCACAATAAAAAGGCCAAGAACAAAGGACACACACACCTCTAAAATTTAGAAGTCTACACAGAAAATTAAAATAGTTAATAACAAGTTGAAGAATGCTCACTGTCACTAATAATGCAAGGCATGCAAAGTAAAATAAGAAACCATGTTTGATCTATCAAATTAACACAAATGTTACAATCTAGGGTATCCAGTGCCAGCAAGAGTATGAGCCACAAGCAAACACAGATGATAGTGGTGAAAACTGGCACACCTTTTCAAGAAAGCATTTTAACAAGGTGTTTTAAGGACCTTAAAATATATTTTAGTTTTTAATCTAATAAATCCATTTCTGAGAATCTATCCCAAAAAATAATCCAAATGCAATAAAAAGTTTAGACACAAAGATGTTCTCAGGGTGTAATCTACAACAACGAAAAACTAGAAACACCAAAAATATCCAACGAAACGTTTAATCTAGAAACACTAATAAGTCTGTCCATACAATGGAACATAATACAAGCAAAATAACATTTATGAAGAATTTTAAATGACTCAGGAAAATTCTTGTGCTACAAAATCAAATAAGAAAACTATCTCTGGTAACAAATGATGGCCTCCAGGGAAGAGAACTAACAGGATATAATTGTATTATCAATTCAAAAAAAAATTTTTTTTAATTAAAAACATATGGAAAAAGACCAGAAGAAAGTGTGCTAAAATGGATTGCTTTTGAATGCAATAACAGTGAGGTTTTTGCCTATTTCTTTACACTTAATTATACTTGCCAAATAGTCTAAAATAAACATGCATTATATTTATAATCAAACTTTTCAAAAAACTTCCAGTGAGAAGGAACTCACTACCTTTTGAAGTACTCCATTCTATCTTTAGGTACCTCTTTTTAGAAGTTCTTCTTTTTTACAGGATTGTTCTTCGTAGCCTCCACCCATAAAATCTATCCGGCCATATAGAACAAATGTCGTCTCCTGAGTTCACTCTTCTCCAAGCCAAGAAATCCCTGTTCCTCTCCTTATTAATAAACTTAAGAGTGTCTGGTTGACTGCTGATTGAGTGCTTACAACGTAGGTGCATTTTTGCATACATTTTCTCGTTTCATCCCCACAACCCCATTTTAGATGTTCATTCAGGTAATAAATAGCCGTCCAAATGTTACTCTGCGCCCGGCCTCCGGAAAAGTACCTTTCAGGATACCTACTAACCTCTCCCTAAAAATAGCCGTTTTCAAAAGGAGCTGCACTTTGGAACTAAACCTATGGATGCTGACCACCTCAATGCTGCAGCTAAAGATAGTAAATGATAGCATGAGATAGGCAGGAACCAAAGGGAGAGGTGAGAGAGCACAATGTGTCCACAAGATAGGATTATCTTTATTCTCAACTCCCTCCAGTGGAAGCTTGTTCCAATTACTTTTTTTGTTTTGAATTTAACAAGAGGGTAGGAGGGGGTTGGTTTTTTTTTGTTTGTTTGTTTGTTTGTTTTGCAAACACACTCTAAATTTTCTGGATTGGAGAGGAAAAGAAAAAGAATTCTCTTACAATCCAGAGCTGATAATCCAGCAGCAGGTACCAAATAAATTTGCTTGAAGGAATGAATAAATTTCCAAAAGAAACCTATTAGATGCTAAACGGCATTCGTATCTTTTCTTGGAAACTGGAATATAATGACTCCAGGTCTGTTTACAGAGTTGTTAGGGTTCAGGGTCTTAAAAGAGAGTAAAATATTAAAGATCACCACATTTCCGAAAACTCTGTATGTTCAGCCACCCGTGCCCCGCGTCCCGACCAAGCATACGCTCAAAAGGTGTTGGCTAATTTGCTAAATCAATGGGATGCTCTCTTTCCAGCGGTAGCTCCGGAATGGTCCCCGGGCCTCCTTCCTTTTAACCAAGAAACTCGAAGCGGCCCCTGAAAGGCGACGCACTCCCAAGACCACTTCTCACCCAGTCCAGGCCTCCCTTCCTGTCTCCGCCAAATGGCTCCAGGCTCCTCTCTACTGTGGGAGCTCCCCCAGGCCGCTGACTCCTCAGTCCCGACGCCCACTCGCCAACGAAGTTTCTTCCCCCGCACCACGACGGCATCTCTCGGCAGAGTCGCCGCCCGTTGGCAGAATAACTGCACGGGCCCTGCGGACAATCCCCACTTTCCCAAAAATAACCCCCTCGGCACCCGCCCCCTTGACAGCTGCTGCCCAGGCGGTACCTGAGTCGCAGACCAAGCAGCCGGAGAGGACCAGGAAAAGCCGCACTGCCCCACGGCCCCCGGTACCCCAGCCCCAGGATATGGGACCAACTGCCGGCGAGACCGCCACATTCATTCCTCCCGCCATGGTTGCCTCACGCCGCCTCCTCCTCACGTGCCTCTCCTCAGCAACTAACCCCGAACAGGTAACGCTAGCAGCCTATGAGCTATAAGGTCGCCCCTACCAACCAATTGGGCCGCGAGGCCTCAAGCTCTCAGTCCTCCAAGGACCTTAGAAGTCCCGCCCCCTAGCAACTGGAGAGGGCGGGAGAAGTAACGTTCAGCCTATTAGAAGACGGATTCTCACCCTAGCAATGGCGACAGGAAGGTCTCACCCCTTAACAACATGCTTCCGTCTTCAGTTTATTTACAACTGGTGAGATTGATGGCAACCTTAACCAATAGAAAATCAGAATGGGCAAGGCCTCTTGGACCAAACTTAGTATTTCAATCGAAACTGTCTCGAGTTTCTTGGGTTTTCTTTCTTTCTTTCCTTTTTACTACGATCTTTCTGCTATGGGAAGCCTATAATTGAGATTTCTCTGTGAATAGGGTCCTGACAGGATACATTTTTTTTTTCCTTTTTGTCTTTTTTCGTGACCGGCAACGGATCGCAACCCTCAGTGTTGCGCCCGTACCGGACCGGGACCGGCAACGGGATCGCAACCCTCGGTGTTGCGACCGCACCTC